CAACAAGAACATCCACAAAAGAACCCCTCGTAACCGCTCCAGCTGACTCACTGATTTGTGGCACCAGACCCCGGCAATACGGCAAGTCCAAGTTTGTGCTTCATAAACAAGGGCAGCCGATGATTTGGTTTTCGCAAACGTAAATTGACGTTGCCTGTAGACTTTGGGCACACTTCTTGCCCGGAAAGCGCTTAGGCAGAGGTGTTGGGCAAGCCCTTCGCGGAGATGTTGGTGGAGGATGATGGCGAGCTGGCCGGGGGCCCCTGAGCGCCTGGCCAAGGTGCGGGCGGATGTGTGTAGGTTTTTTCGCGCACGTGCTGGGCTCGTTGGGGATGCTCGGGGTTCGATGTGTCTGGGGAAATTTCTCGTCAGAAGTTAAGATGTGGCCTAAGTCAGCGTGGTTTCTATGGCCGCCTTGATTCTGCGGCATGCCGGGCTCAGCTCCAGATCAAGGAATCTGCCGATTCCAGAAGGGTTTGCTTTGCAAGGGTGCGCGCACCGCGAGCCATCCGTCTTCGCTGATGTTTTTGTTTGTCTGTGGGTGTGGCCGTTGCGAGGGCCCCTGTCAGCACAAGTGTGATCAGTGTTCACGATGTGAGGACCGAATGATCATCGAGACGCTGGATGGTCAAGAAACCCTCGGCTTCCGGCGGGACACCTGGGGCAGTGGTTCGAGTGGTTCAGACACTTTTCCGGAAGGGCCCATGAAAGATGAGCTGCTCGAGCAACTTGGGGGCTTGTCGGTTGGAGTGTCTGTTTGCTTGCCCAAAACTTGGGCTGCAAGTCGGAGGTTGTAACCTTGACGCTCGGGCAGCATGGGCTCTGATCGAGATCTAATGGCACGAAGATCTAGGGCTTGCACCCCACTCCTCTCATCCAGTCTTCTAGTTTCATTCTTTCCTTGCAGTTTCCGAGCTTCAGGCCGCTTCCATGGAGCTTGTTGTTGTTTTCCCATTGTTCGTATGCGTAACAAGTCCGACATAGCTGCAGGGGGATTTTCGGTCTTCCCTACTTGCAAGGCTTATGTAGGTGTTTCACTGGCTGGCAGGGTGGAGCGGACCAACGCAACATGGTCACAACAGCACGCCATCAATTCCTGATTGCCATTGATGGAAGGAGGTTGCTGCCGCACCCGAAGTTGTCAGTCACCTGACCCTTGCAGTCAGAGCCAATGAATGAAGTCAAGTGTTGGGTTGAGTGGTTTTGCCCTCAATTGGTTAGATGCCTGGGGCAGGCATACCGCTGAGTTTGCGGGATGATCCAAGCCACTGGTTTTGACAAGCAATGCAAACCACAGCTGTCAGTACCCAAATAAACACCAGAGGGGCGCTGCTTTTGTGTGGCCCGTTTGCTCGAACCCGCGTGTCCGCCGGAAGTTTGGTTTGGGATCGCGCTGAATCCCCGGGAGAGCTCGCGGGATGGCGAGCTGGAGCCCAAGCTCATGGCGAGCGCTGCCAAAGCACCAGATGGCCGAGTGGGAGGACAAGGCTCTGGCCGAGAAGGTCCTCACGAAGCTAGGCGCCTCAACGGCAATGATGTGGCAGGCTTCTGTTGGGGTGTGTTTGGCGAAGTGCCGGGGCAAGGGATGCTTGTGTGATGCGTTGCTTGTGCCAGCCGGGCTGCCGCTTGCGGTGTGTAGTTTGGGGGCCCGAGCTGGCTAGCAGGCGTGTTGGTTGACTTCTGTTCACTTCTCAGCTCTGGTACTAGCCGGAAATCCATGCCAAGCCCATATACCAAGCACATCAAGAGACCCCTGCCCCCTCCTCTTCTTTACCATCTCTCCAAAACCCAAGCTACTCAGAAAGGGCAGGGGAATGCCAGCTGTCTTGGCCCGTCGGAGTGCAAGGGAGGCCGGTTGAGGCGCACGGTTGGGGAACTTGGGGTCGCTTCTTTTTGCACAAGCTCAAAGCCAACCTACTGTAACCTCAGCCAACTCAAACAGCCTCAAGCCAGGCCTGTAGCATGTACTGATAATTACCCAAGGCTGTTGGGGGTTTATTCATCAGCAACCGGGATGCATGCCGGGATGCACGTGGACTGCCATGCTGGCAGCTTGAGCAGTTGAAAGCGCCAAGCTGGTTCCTGGGAGGGGTGATGGAGGTCACGTTGAGTCACCACAGTGCCTTCATTCAGATTCTTTCAGACAATGCCCTAAGCTCTCGTTGACACCCGAAAGGCCCCCGAGGGCTGGCACTTTTTTTTGACTCTTCCAGGATATTAGAGGGGGGGTCCACTCAGGGGCTTTCTTTGGAGGCATCCAGATGCAGCACGGGTCCAAAAAACACCCTTCCCCCCTCCTGTGGGTTTGGGACTCCCAACATGTTGCTTTTCCCTCCCCCCCCCAAAAAAAAAAGGGGGGGGGGGGGGGAAAACGAGAAACACAGTGCAAAACAAGAAGCAACCACCAAAAAAAACAGCCACCAAGCCCAAACGGGACACCAACTCTCAAGGCTCAACTCTGAGGCAAGCTGCCGGGCCTGGTGCAGCCCAAGGAGTGCGATCGCCTGAAGGCGCTGCTGGCGGCCTGCGGCCGGGGGGAGCGCTTCCTCGTGCAGGGCGGGGACTGCGCGGAGCGGTTCCTGGACTGCGAGGCCGGCGGGCGAAGTGGGTGGAGTGGGTGGGTGGACAGGGGGAGAGGGGTGGGTGGAACACGAAACCACCAAGAAGAGTAGGTTTCCAGTTACCCATGGTCGGGGGGCAGGAATGTTGGTCAACCCCCACATGTTCTTCTTTTTTTTTTAGCCGGGTGGGTGGGATGGGCCTGTTGCATATGATGGCAAAAAGCGCCCGCCCAGCTTTTGGTGCGTGCTGGTCGTTCGGCGAAGGCCCGAAGGCCTTTTTGTGGATGTGCCCAAGTCGGCCTGGGTACGAGTTTGACTATCCTTTGACCGCCACGTTGCGCTTCATGTCATGATGTTTTGTTCTCCCTCAATTCGGTGGTTAGGAGGAAGGTCGCAGTGCCCCTTTTTCCCTGAAGGCATATCGTTACATGAGACCCACGTCCAGCCTCCAGGCGGATCGTCTTGAGCAGCAGCTGAAGCTCATTCTTCAGATGGGCATGGCGACTGGGCCAGCGTGTTGTTGTTTGGGAGGGCAGATGTGTAGCAGGTTGTCGCAGAGTTGGTTTTGGATTGGTGGCCGAGGGTTTGAATCCTTGGTTCTCGCCGAGGGCAGATGCAAAACCACTCCTGACCTCCAAACTACTAAACCAAGCCACCAAGGTGAGAAGGACTGCTGCGGTTCTGACCATTCTTTTCCGCATTGACGGCAAACCCATTCATACGCACCACCTCAGGCCAAACCATCGAAATGCTTGGGCTAGATGCCACTTTTCTCAGCCGCCCCCCACCCATTTTTCCGGCTTTCTGGCTGAGTTCACCGCTCCAATGGAGACCAGGCGGTGGCCTTTCTTCACCCCCACCAAAAGGGATGATGAGCCATGATTTGTCAAGAACCTGTTCCTCTTTTTACCCAAAGCCACTGGGTGATGAAGAGGCACCAATGATGAGGTCATTTTTTGAGATAAACTAGCCAACATTTTTTGGGTAGACTCCTGGATTTCTCGTTGACCCGAGCTGCAGTCGTGTTGGGGGTCGTTTCGCAAGCAGCAAATGACCACAATACAGCCCTCGCTAAACCAGCGCCAGACAAAGCACCTCCAAACTAAAGCAACACATAGTAATGGACCCTGTTAATAGATAAGGTTTGTTACCTGGCAAAATATTTTGTAGCGGGGGATACTTATTATTCAAATTGAAATCGCTACGCGATCCGCCGGCGCCAGTGAGGTGCAAGGGATTTTAAGACCTTTTTGCTTTTTCGTGGAAGTCTGAAAGTGCCACAACAAGGCCTTCTTGGCACTTTCCTATTTTTCAGTCAGGAAACATGTCCCAGATGCTGGGGACGCTGGAAATGCAAGGGATGCAACCGCGCAACGTACAGGAAAAGACGCGATCTTCGCATCCAACATTTCAAGACTTTCAGACACGCAAAATGGACGTAACACAGAAAATACCAGAGATGTCGGGAATGCTGGGAATGCAGCCGGCTGGCCACAAAAAAGTCCAAAAAACAAGGATTTGTTGATACCTCCCAAAATCAACCATCAAAAGCAGGTACTAGCAACCCCCTTCAAATACCCTAAAAACAGACTTCCAAAAACACGATAATGCAGGGGATGTTTCGCAGTAACTGCTCCGTACAGTTGGGGAATGCAACAAACACTCATTTTTGGAAATTCAATCAGTTCCTCAACGTATCACTGCACTTGGCCCCACTCAGACCCCTAGCAGGCCCGTTCCAACATCGCTTGAAACACCAAAACACCATTAGTATCTGCACCAAAAAGAGACAACTTCATAGCAGCAAGCTGGGGATGCAGATCCTGCGCGTCCGGGGAAACCCCCCCCCCCCTAGAGACCTAGACGAAATGCAGGTTTTTAGCAGGCAAGCCCCAAACACACTGGAAAATTACAGGGTTTTGGACACGCAGCGCAACATGCCTAAAAATGGCAGCCCCAAAAGCCTTCGGCTTTGAGAAGACATCCGAAGGAAGACCAAGTTGCGGACTGCCATCTACACGCTCGACTGGCGTCAACGGATTTGGGAGAAGATGTTTTTGTCAGGTCCTAGCTCGCCACAGCAATGCCTTTCAGGAAGCCATGGGTTCTCGTCTGCGCCCCCAAAGCTGGGATGCACAGAGGCTAACACCCACCTAATACAGACCCAGCCCCAGTCCCCCTTGACGAACGCGACGCTTGTTAAACTAATCAGATGCACGCGACCTGGCCGTGATTGTGGAAAAAAACGTTTGGCTTTAGGGCTACTTCCTGCAATGTCGAGGAACCTCCTCCCCAAAAGGCGGGCCGAGCATTCGCCAGGTGGTGGAGCACGTCAGCGGCAAGCCGGCGCTGAAGATCTGCCGCATCGCGGGGCAGTACGGGAAGCCCCGGTCCAAGCCCACGGAGGTGGTGGAGGGCAAGGAGATTATGAGCTTCAAAGGGGACAACATCAATGGCTTCGACCCCAAGGAGAAGCTGCTGGAATAGGTGTGGGAACGAGTGTGGGGCCCTGGGGGCCTGAAAAAGGGAAGCCACCAGTTGGATGGTAGGGGTCAGTCCCTCTTGCCCATCGAGCCGAGAGGGAAAACCAAACGTATCTTAGCTTGGCTTGCCCTCAGCCCTTCGCTTGAGGACCGGAAGTGGGATCCCGAGCGTTTGCTGCTGGGCCGCTTGTTTGCAGAGTTGCCTTGGCTGCGAAAATCAGACATTTGCCGACTTGTTTTTGGAAAGGGGCCAAGCAAGTCAGACAAGTTAGGAGACTGCCGCGTTCCTTTTTTGTTAGCACGCCACGAGCAGACGAGCAAACACGGACCATTGGGTAATTTGAAATGTGCTTGGGAAATGTATGCCCGTCAACTTTCCAGCAATGGATAGGGATAAAGAGGATCTACTGGCCGACACAGTTGTGGTTCCAATGTTTTGTGCCATGCGCCGGAGGCGCTCTTGTTTTCCGGTTGTTGGCCACCCAGGCCGTTCTCCAATGCGCGAGGTTAATGGTGTCCATCCGCTTGCATGTGTCTAGGCTCATTCCGCAGTTGCCCGCCCCTCCAGCGATGTCTGCAGCCGCAAGTTTGGACTTGTGTTTTGGGCGGTCTTCACCTTGTTCAGGCTTCATTTGGTCCATGGGGTCTTGGTCCCCTTTCAACAAAAGGGTGCCAACCACTTCGCACGTGGAACCCCAATTGCCCCATTTCCGGCCTAAAGCTGGTTGCAACATATTATTAATAAATACCAACGAGAACTTGCACCTCATATGTCATTTTCCTTTTTGCGTAGAAGCCACGGCTGGAGGCTACTGGCACTCTGCGGCCACCCTGAACTTCCTTCGGGGCTACGCCACCGGCGGGGACCACCTGCCGCTGCGGACGTTGGGCCTGGCAGAGCTCAAGGGCTCCGAGCACTACGAGAGCTACGCGGAGGAGCGCGGCGACACGGGCGCCGTTTGTTTTTCCCCCCCCCCCCGCTCTTGTTGTTTTGGTCCCTTGTGTTTTTTGATTTCCTTTGTTTTGCCTCGGTTTTGGTTTTGCTTTTTGCGCTGCTCTTGTTGTTTTGGTCCCTTGTTTTTTTGATTTCCTTTGTTTTGCCTCGGTTTTGGTTTTGCTTTTTGCGCTGCTCTTGTTGTTTTGGTCCCTTGTTTTTTTTGTTTTCCTTTGTTTTGCCTCGGTTCTGGTTTTGCTTTTTGCGCTGCTCTTGTTGTTTTGGTCCCTTGTTTTTTTGATTTCCTTTGTTTTGCCTCGGTTTTGGTTTTGCTTTTTGCGCTGCTCTTGTTGTTTTGGTCCCTTGTTTTTTTGATTTCCTTTGTTTTGCCTCGGTTCTGGTTTTGCTTTTTGCGCTGCTCTTGTTGTTTTGGTCTCTTGTTTTTTTGATTTCCTTTGTTTTGCCTCGGTTTTGGTTTTGCTTTTTGCGCTGCTCTTGTTGTTTTGGTCCCTTGTTTTTTTGTTTTCCTTTGTTTTGCCTCGGTTTTGGTTTTGCTTTTTGCGCTGCTCTTGTTGTTTTGGTCTCTTGTTTTTTTGATTTCCTTTGTTTTGCCTCGGTTTTGGTTTTGCTTTTTGCGCTGCTCTTGTTGTTTTTTGTGTTTTTGGTTTCCTTTGTTTTGCCTCGGTTTTGGTTTTGCTTTTTGCGCTGCTCTTGTTGTTTTGGTCCCTTGTTTGTTTGATTTCCTTTGTTTTGGCTCGGTTTTGGTTTTGCTTTTTGCGCTGCTCTTGTTGTTTTGGTCCCTTGTTTTTTTTGATTTCCTTTGTTTTGCCTCGGTTGCTCTTGTTGTTTTGGTCTCTTGTTTTTTTTGATTTCCTTTGTTTTGCCTCGGTTTTGGTTTTGCTTTTTGCGCTGCTCTTGTTGTTTTGGTCTCTTGTTTTTTTGATTTCCTTTGTTTTGCCTCCGTTTTGGTTTTGCTTTTTGCGCTGCTCTTGTTGTTTTGGTCCCTTGTTTTTTTGATTTCCTTTGTTTTGCCTCGGTTTCGGTTTTGCTTTTGCGCTGCTCTTGTTGTTTTGGTCCCTTGTTTTTTTGATTTCCTTTGTTTTGCCTCGGTTTTGGTTTTGCTTTTTGCGCTGCTCTTGTTGTTTTGGTCCCTTGTTTTTTTGATTTCCTTTGTTTTGCCTCGGTGTTGGTTTTGCTTTTTGCGCTGCTCTTGTTGTTTTGGTCCCTTGTTTGTTTGATGTCCTTTGTTTTCCCTCGTCTTTTTTTTGTTCTCCCCCTAAGAACTCCCCAAGCACTTCTATGCGATATCGTCAAAGTCCGGTCTGATGCTTCAAAGGGGGGTGGAGGGCAAAGGGGGGTTTACAATGTCATAAGCTTGGGGTTGCTGATTTAGAGTTACGTCTTTTATTTCCATCCCCTGGTGCTGCGGGAAAGCTGTGACAGGCTAGGGGTCAACGCTGCCTTGCTTCCATTTTGGTTCAAGTGAGTTTTTCGCAACCGCGTCAGCCAGAGTGACCCTTTTTCCAACAGTCATGGACCTTTGCGAGATGGAAGTCTTCCAGAAGCTTCCGATGGTCCATTTCCACCACTGCTAGGAAGAAAGCGCTACGGCCTTTGCAGGAAGGCTCATAGCAGACATGCGCCTTTTCTCGGAGGGCGGGTCCTTGAGTAAAGCCTGGTCCCCTTTGGCACGGTCTCAGGGATCTTGCGCCCCCCCCCCCCCAGGGGTTAGCTGTCTCCTCAGCTTGTTGACGGTTTGGTTGGACGGGCCGCAGACTGGTGGAAAGGGCAGTTTGTCGCAGTCACTGACAGAAGCCAGGCCAACGTCAGGTCGATTTGCTCGCATCTGGTGCCTAGCAGAGTGGAATGGAAGTTCGGATTGGGTTGTGTTGGATGATTTGGATGAGCTTAATGAAGTGAATTGGAAGGATGGTTTGGCGGGAGCTGGTGTGGGCGCATTAAATCGTGGTGGGTGAACCGTTGGGCATCCTTCAGTGGTCGGAGAGCTGACGATGTGTGACACTGACTTTCAGCATGTTCATGATTCAATCTTGCCGAGTGGCCAGGGTTTCCGGCGGGCGTGGGGGTGCGGGGCAGCGCAGCAGGATGCCCGGGCCATCTTCGAGAAGACCCTGTCGTCAGACAGCTTGGACTCTTGGCCTCAGGGTGCGCCAAACTCGGTCAGGTTGGGTCATTCCTAAAACTTGAGAGAAAGAACTGGAAGACTCTGGAAGACAGTTTGCGCACAGGCCACCACAGGGTTCAATCTGTTTTGTGTTCCAGACATCGTCGCAACCACCAAAAAGCCAGCTAGCTTCCCGGTGTGCCCCGTACATTGGCCGGATGGTGACCCGATTGAAAGGGACACCTACACGACAATTATCCACAAGCGCAATTGTTGCTTGAGCACACTTTGCCGGGTGCGAGTGAATCCATATGTGGTTTTCCCCCCTCTTGACGCCCCACAAATCCCTCCCCCCCTTCACAGTGCCAAGGATACTTGTACCAGCTTTAGAGGCATTCTTTTTGTCAGCAGGTGCTTTTTGGATCTATCATATCTATCCTTCTACCTGTCTGCCTCACCCCTGCATGACAAGCATCTCCACGCAATTGGACCCTGCCCGCCCTACCAATCCACAAGACACGGCTCACCTGCGGTTTGGTTACCCTTTCCCCCGTTAAAAAGTTGGACGCTCGCGCGCTCGTCTCAGGAGTTCTTCACCTCCCACGAGGCGATGCAGCTGGACCTCGAGGCCCGCAGAGGGAACAAACCCGAGGAATTGGTGTGGCTTTTCCATTTTTTTTTTGTGGGGGGGATGGCCTTGCCTTGCAAAAAAGAGGGTAGGTTTTCCTGCTGGTTGCCCAAGAGTCAACCAAAAAAGGAGGGTACCAACTCAAAAACAAGCAGACCAATGTGATTTCAAGCCGTGGTTGGTGGTTGGTTCACGTACAATGCTGTGGATGGGTTCGGCGCCAGTTGCAATTTGTGGTTTACCCAGTATTCATCGGGCTTCATCCATCCCAACTGGTGCAGGAGTTTGTCCGCAGTACTGTAAAAACCAGCCACAACCTGCCGGGGAATTTACAGCGTTTTCCTTCCCTTGCAATGTCTAGGGCGTGCACCGTTTGGGTGTCGTTGGCCTGGGTATTGTAGCTGTTGATGGTCTTGGGTATTGCTCGCCTCATCGTTTCACCAAAGTACGCTTCGAAAAGGCGGTAGGTGAAGGGGAAACGGAATGGGAATCGCTCTCCTCCGTAAGATGTCTATTGTTGGGAGAGTGGATCCATCACACCATTCCCTTCATCTCATATCCACTCTACAAGTCAACCATAAAAGCATGACAATAGCTTGAGGAGTGGATATGGGTCATCTCCCTTCATCCATTTTTCCCAGCCGTGGAGCGAGGCTGGACAGGGATGAGATAGAGGGATGAATGGGTGAGGGTGGAGATGGGCCATTTCTTCCAGCCCATTCCTCACTCATTTTTTCTCTCTTCAGTAGCCTTCTCCTCGTCCTGACACCCAAGCATTACATTTCTACATGTGAGTGCTTAAGGATGGAGAAGAACGAAGAGAGACCCAACCCGCTGTAAAGAGACTGCAGTTGGATGGAGAGGCCGGGCTGGGACAATCACTCGCTTACCTCCATTCTTTTTCTCACAATTCTAAACAACCTGACTTTGACAACCCCTAGATAGTAGAGTCAAAGCAATGACACCATATGACATCAGTATAGGTGTTCAGGGCACCTTGGAGAAAAGAGCACTGTCTGCCATTCGACGGGCTGTTGATGAGTTTTGTTCGGAGCCCGGGGGTTCCTTGGCCCTGAAGGTTTTTCCGGACCTTTTGAGCAAGCCAGGTATCCCCTCAGTGCATTCCACTGCTGCCTGGACAAAGGCTTTTCACAGGGTGAACCTTATGCTTCCCTGTGGGTGTTAAACATCACCTTTTGGCTGCAAGTTTAAAGTGAGTTTCCTTTTGGGGTGACGCTTTTAGGTTGGAAATGTGGGGAAGCCCGTTCCAGGATCCGGTTCAATCATGCTTGCCTTGAGGAAGGCAAGTTGCATCATGACTGGGCTGCCTTCCGGAGGGGCACAGAGTGACCAGCATGAATGTGCGATTCAAAGGGATGCCGTTGCCGCAAAAGATGGTAATTTAAAAGTCTCATGTGCTCATCCAGAATGATGGATTCCTGCCTGCTTCAGGTTAGGGGGATTGCGCTAATTAGGCAGACTCCATGCTCAACCTTTCCTGCCTCCAGGAGGCACTGACGCGGCCGGTGGGGGGCAAGTACTACAACCTCAGCGCCCACCTCGTGTGGATCGGGGACCGCACCCGGCAGCTGAACTGCGCCCACGTGGAGTACTTCCGGGGCATCGCCAACCCCATCGGCGTCAAGGCGTTGGGGAAGCGAAGCCGAAAGCAAGTGGGGATGCGAAGGCGAAGGGGGCATTTGTTTTCCGATTTTATTGCGAGCTCACCTGGGGTAGAACGAGCTCACTATGATGAAGGTCCTGTTTGTGTGGATCCCCAAACTGAGGTTGTAACCTTTGCGGATTTGTGGAACCACGCTTAGCGGGGCATCCACCTGGCAGTTGTGCAATATTGTGCGAGCAGTGAGATTTTTGTTGGAGAGTTGCTTGCGGAGAAGAGGCTTGGCGTTGCTTGGGGTTTTCATCTGGGCTCCCCGCCCTGTTTGGGCTGGACTGGTTGAACACGCTGCTAGCTTTCGGTCCGCCCTTCAAGTAAGGTTGGTATCTCTGGTGGAGACACCAATGAGGTGGACGGAAACTCGGGCAAGGTGAAATGCCCGCTCCACAACGGTTGAGGTTAACAATGCAGGTTGCGTCAAGGAACGAAACACCTGCCACAGCATTGTTTTGGCTTTGCTTGGTCTGGCTCGAAATGGAAGCGCGACCCGAGCAGGCGGGCCGATCAGTAGAAAGGTGGGGAAGAGGCCGCTTTTGGGACATGTTGGGACCACCTGGCGGCAGGTGTGTTCTATCTCATGCTTGCCTTGGAGAAGCTGGTAAGCACGGCAATGTTTGCATGAACAGCATGTCTGATGGCTCATTTTTTCCTCCCATTGGACAACCAACGCGGGGACACATAGGACGTAGGGCTTAAATTGGATTTGGACCAATTCTTGTTAGTGAGGAGGGGGGGGCAAAAAGAAACCCGCCACACACACACACACATGCCATAAATTTGGAACGACAGGACAAAGGGCATTTTAGGAAATGGACCGAGTCCTATTCGAGAAGACCGCGCGACCAGTTCCCCTCGCATTTTCAGCCTCGTGAGGTGGGGCCTTCGATGAAGAATGACGAGCGCCTCGGAATGCTTGAGAGGATCTTCTTCTGTCTTTTATCGCCGGTCCTTTTTTAGTTGGAGTCCGAAAGTCAACGGCCGGAAAAGCCAGAAGCCAAACAGGAAACCGCCCCATTTCGCGGGTTCCGCCATGAGAGAAACCAAAATGGTTTCGGCCATGCTCGGTGCCACGGTGCAACGCTCAGGCTGAAAGAGCTGGTGCAGCTGCTGAACCCCAACAAGGAGGACCCGGCACAAAGCAAAAAACAAGCTCGGGGGCCAGGCCACACTTGCTTGTGTCATGCTTGCATGACAACACGCTCAAAGCAGGCCAGGGTATTGTTCAGCAGCCGTGAAAAGGGCCATGTCAGTTGTCCAGCGACAAGTTAGGCGCTCTGCCCAAGCAATGAGAACAGTGTTGAGCCATGATAGGGGAGTACTGCGTGTCATCATTTAGCCCCTCACATGTTTCCACAGGGACACCCTCCAAGATGGTTGGACATAATCTCCGTATGCATGATGTCCAAAGGGTCTTCCTACCCGCCTGAAACTCAAAAAGTTCCGTTCCTCGAAGTTGAACACCCAATCCAAAAGTCGCACCAAAGGGTTCCACCAAAGGGTTTCACAAAAGGGTTACACCAAAGGGTTCCACCAAAGGGGCCTAGTTTTGAAAGTCACAGGGTTCCAAAGGGTTCCAGCAAAGGGCTATTACACCACAGGGTTCCACCAAGTTCCACGAGGGTTCCGCAGGAGGGCCGGGTGATGCTCATCACCCGCTACGGCGCTGGGAAGGCGGAGGCGATGCTGCCGGGCCACATCCAGGCGGTGAAGGAGAGCCAGGCGAATCGGATCGCTCGTCGAGTTGCTGTGGGAGGTCTTGCAGGGATTGGAACCCCTGATGGTGGCAGAGGAGAAATGGGGAACCACCCCCTCACGGATCCAAGCCACCAATCCAAACCACCAATTGCAGGGAAGCTGATAGGCGGAATCCATTTGTTTTCCTGTTTGTTTGGTGGGGCAACATGGTCAACACCAGACAGGGTTGCCCTTCTCTAGCAGGGTCATTTACCAACCGAGTTTGGGTGGAATAGTAGCCACTCGGGTGGAAGCTGAGATATGGCCATTTGGGGGACACCACCGGGACACCATCGGGACACCAACGGCCAACCAAGACAACGCCACCAAACAACTGTGGGACACCATCAGGGACAGCTCCGACCACTGGCGCACCATTAAAACATCAACGAGAGGCCAACCATTGGGACCACCAGAATGGGGCACACCACGGTGCCACGGGGACACCACTAAAACGTCGCCAAATTCCACCAAAACACCAGTAAATCACCAAGACAACAATTGCTCGCGGATTTTGTCAAGAATGCAGCACGCGGACACTTTCCGAGCAACACAATACTCGCCCCCTAGCTATGGCTGGACTAATTGGGGCAAATGTGTTTTTGTTGGTGTCCTGCCGCTCTGCAAAACACAAATCCAAAAGGATGCCCTCAAAAGGGTGCGCTCAAATCAAAACGGGTGTCCACATCTCACAGTCAGCTGTGTTTCCTTTCGTGTGCGGCCCACGGCATACGGCATGGCTGAGGTGCCGGTGACGTGGCAGTGCGATGCCGTGCATGGGAACGGCATAGTGGCCAGCAACAAGCTGAATCTCGTCTGTTTGTTGCTACTTCATGAAGATTCCCAGTTTGTTTTTTAATTGGGATTGGCGCCCACCTGATGAATACTTTAAGATTAGGGGACTTTAAGGTTTTGGAAAAGCTTGCTTTTCACTGAGGGGGTCTTTATATTTTTTTTTGGGGGGGAGAGATCGACAAGATACATGTTGGCCATGTTGAATATCACGTTTACCAGCTGAATTCGCCTTTTGTTAAAAAAAACAAATGTATTCCTTGGGGCCCCCGCTGCTTGGCTGCCTTGCGAACATTGGACAGCCAGCTCACTTCCAAGTCCTGGGCTTGGGATCATAGTGGGAAGCGACCGGTCCAGACAAGCTGACGGGACTGGAGAATTCGGGACCTGTTTCGCTGGCGTTTGGCTCAGAATCTGCTCTTTCTTGTTCAGGAAGCAAGATGCTCGAAAAGAGATCCCATTTTGTTCGGTTTTGCAGGTTGAAGATTGCGGACAGTCTGACAGTTGGGATTTTCACTCACACAGGATGAAGCTTATGGAAGGATGAAGGTCCTTTGCTTGAGGATCATTTTGGACCTGCTTGAATGTGGACCTGCTTGAATGTGTCCGCTCCTGAACAGTGGACCCAGTCATCGCGATCCTGAATTCGGAAACAACTTGCTACAATAGTGGCCCCAGACGGCCTCAGCATTATCTTATTTCTAATTTGTGACTTGCAGTAGTTTTGCCCAAGAGATCATTCCAGCGTTGGCCTGCTCACCGAGGAAGACACGGATGGTCAAGGAGCCGCTTTGCTCTGCTGCCGAGGTGTGTGCTTGCGCCGTAACGCATATTATTGCAGGCACTCGATTGGGTACCCAAGGCAGCCGCAGTGCAAAGATATGAGATAGCAGTGCCGAATCCACATGCGAAGGACCTACCCTTCATTCCCTCAACGCCTCCGGACATATCTTGTTTGGGGGGGGAGAGGGAACGCGGCATGCAAGATGGTGTCATGCAGCTTCTTCGCAGGCTACATGCTGGCCAGCTCTTTGGAGGGAATCCCCTTTCCACCTCCGGGTTCCTAATCGCTGGTTCTACGAAAAAGCACAAAAGCAGCTGCATTTCTCCAAACGAGGACATTCTGACGGAGATCTTTGAGGTCATGGCCATCCACAAGCGGTGCGGCTCCATTTTGGGGGGCATCCATCTGGAGGTCTCGGGCCAGTGCGATATCACGGAGGTCCTGGGCGGGTCCATGGGCCTCACGGAGGAGGGGCGAGGGGCGCTTCTAGGGCCATGGGAAAGGAACGGGTGGGTGTGACGTCCCTTAAGGGATGCCAGCTGCCGGCTCAGGCATCACCGAAATACCAGCTGATTTTCCGGATCCTCCTTTATAACAAGCGGTTTTTGGATGCATGCTTCAAGGAACCCTGGGGCCAAGACGAGGCTGAGTCCAAATATTGAGTCCTTTGAGCTCAGATCTTGCAGGTTAGGCGGTGGCGGTCCGACGGCAAGCGCATCTAACGTTGAGTTGAACTGGCCATGGTTTGAGGGTGTCTTGCGAAGGCCGCCAAAGGCTCGCAAAGCAACCAGTTTGCTCCTCGCGACTCAGTTCATTGTTCTGCTTCCGTGCCTTCACAGGTTTGCTTGGGATGTTGTTGAAATTGCTGAGGTGCGTCCTGCTTCCAGGTGGCAGCAATGAAAGAGGTGCATATCTGACATGAATTGCATTTCCTCCACGCATCCCTGGCCACATGTTTGTTGACTGCATCGCCAGCAGGAAGTATAGTGCATGGCCAGGCCCGTCTCTTCTCATTTCAAACTCAAGTTGGCACATGGTGGCATATCCGCTCATTCTGTTGATGCGGGCAACCTGCAATACACGCTGTGTGGAGTGGATAGGCTGATGGAACACCTGGATTGGCGGCAATTGGGGGTCAAACGGGCAGTGGGGGCACTTGAAGGTAGAAGATGTCCTTATACTAGAAGAAGTAGGTGGCGGATGTGCGCAGAAATCGCGTGAGCTTACATTTGCTCTTGGGTCCATACCAAGCCCATCACGGACTGGCACTGACGGTTGATGGCATGTTTCAGGTGGAAAGAGTGTCATTCGTGAGTTGGCAGGGGGCAGCCTCACGAAAGGGGAAATTCAGATCATCGCCAGGCAGCACTGTTGTCCAAAGTCTTGCTGCGCCATGCGCAGTTGTGCGGAGAAATTATCTGCAATCGCACCTACGTGACTAGTTGATGTCTTGAGGTGACCTCGCATCGACCAACCCGCGTAGGCACTGTCGGTTTCTCAAAATGTTGATGTGACTCTTGCTCCCGACTGTATTTTAATTGAAACCGTTTGGCTGAGGATTTTCTGCTTTGACATGTGCAGCTTGCCGCTCGCCCAACCCTGCCCCTATCAAACAGTCAGGAGATGCTCCTGAAGAACTATGAGACCTACTGCGGCCCAGTTCAGTGGCAACTGCTTTTCGTTGCAGCTGCCCCCTACTTGGTATGGCCAAAAGTGGCAAGTGATACCACAAGTTTCCACGAAGCGGAAGCGGGTGAACCTCTGGCCAATCTTCAAGCTTGGCTTTGTTTGAAGTTACCCTCTTTGGATTGTTGAAATGGGACACCGAAGGGAAGACCCATGCCTTTTCTGGGTCGGCTTTTGGGTCTTCCCAGTCCCTTGGCTGACCGTATCTTAAACCCACCACTTTTTGCTCAAACATACCTGTGGCCTCTTGGCTTGTACATTTTTCTGCTGTTTGGTTAAAAACAAAATGTTTCCATCGAGAAGGCACTTTTTGTGCGAAGCGACACTTTTGCAAGTTGAGCATTGCAGGCGGTTGCTTGCTGAATCGAAACGGCAATTTTACCCGTCCAAACGCCGTTGGACGGGCATTTTGTGAAACGGCAGTTGCAAACGGCGCTGTTTTCGTGAAACGGCAGAACAAAAAATGCCTTTTCGCCAAACGCTAAAAAAAAAGTACCCTCTGGAGGTCGCAGGTATGTTTTTTACGGGCAAACAGGTCAACCTGGTGCGCAGGGGCGGCTTTTCCTTTTTTCACCTCGGATAAGGCGTGACCTGTGGAGCTTGATCTGGGGGGGGTGTCCCTTGGACTCGCTTTCACTGGTGACACGACCCCCCCCCCCCAGGTTCACGCCATGGTGGGGTTCGCCCGCGAGGCGACCCGCGGATGAACTACTCCCAGTCCCTCGAGGCGGCCTTCCGCGTAGCCAACGAGATGCCGAGTTCGGAGCGCGCAGCCAAGCGCCAGAAGTGATCGGAGAGGACCGGAGCGGAGCTTGGGGGTGCATGCGTCGTTTGTCGCTCGGCATGCTTTTGTTGAATTGTTGCTTTTGTTGTTGATTTGCGTATCTTAAGTTTGTTTGATTGTCTTTTCCTTTCTTACTTCTTTTGTTTTTCCTATTTACTTTTTTTTTGGGGGGGTGGGTGGGTGGGTGGGCGTGCGAGCGGGGGGGAGGTATGATGGCTTTTTAATTTGGTTTGTCTCAAAATAGGAATTCCTCCCCCCCCCCCCCCCAAGGTGCAGCTTTCACTTTGCACCCCGCAACGGCCACCCTCGAAGCGAGAGACACCATTGGGGGGGGGGGGGCCTTTTTGTGGAACCAGGTCATTGCGACCAACTCGCGATGCCAACTTTCTGGCTGAGGATTTGGGAAGGCATGCAATTCTTGACCCCTGCCTGCTTCAGGAGCAAGATGTCAGCCGCCCTCGTGGCTCACATCGGGTTCCGTGGGTGTGGCACCGCCGGCCGACGGTAGAGCCGTTGAGCCTCAGCCATTGGCAGACCTGCGCGCGCAGGGGCCGCAGGGGTTGGGCCCATAGCGGTTGCCAATTGCCAGTACCACGCTCTCGTTGCGGACCAAAACAGTTCAGACCATGTGCTCCTTCGGCCCAGCCCCGATGGCTGGTTTTGGGATGCCACATATATTTTCTTCAGCCAGCGAGGCAGTTAATGCACACCGACGCATGTTCCCTTAGCAGCGTTGCGCAGAACAATTTTTAGGGCATGGAGCGGAGGTAAAGGAAAAAGGCAGCTTCGAACGCCTGCACAAGTCTCGAAAGATGATCAGCCTCCAGCTATCTGCCGGATGTTTCAAGATTTGAGGCAACACACCGACGCTCCAAAATGGTGACAGAAGCTTTACTCCTGGATTGTTTAGATTTTGGGGCCAGCCACCGATGGGACAATATCTTATATTGGGATCTCCGAATGGTAGGGCTCAATGCACATGTGCATGCATTTGCGGAGGACGTAGCGAATATTTCACCGTTGAGCTCTTATAGAAACCTTTCTGGCGCACGTTCGATTGCAGGAACGATTTCGACATGCAGGGATAGTCTTGGATTGGGAGGCAGGACTTTAGGCGTTCTCCGTGCTGCCTTCCTTTTATCAGAAATAGTCATGCGCTCGACTTAGGGTTTGTCGGATCCTTGTTTCAGTATTTTGCTGCGAGATTGCAATCAAATGGATCTCGAAGAGAATCTGATCCAAGCTGGAGAGTATCTAGGCATGCCACGGGTCACCGGGTTGCCGCAAGCTCCCTGAATCGGAGCCAGGTTGACCGAACCTGACCGGACCGAGCCGAGGTGTGAGCTGGTAACCCGCGAGGAGGTGAGGCAGCTGGTGGTCAACGCCACGGCTTTGTACGAGGCCCGGTTCGGGTGGCCCCGGATGGGGTCTGGTGGCGGGGCGGCTTGATCCCGCCGGTTGACGCGCGCAGTAGGCTGAAGCTTGCTTTGACGAGCCCGAGGCTAAGTGGGCCCTAGAGCCTGGGCTGAAGTAGTGATGTGCGAGCCATGAGGCCCAACCAGACAATCATGAGGCAGGAAGCAAGCGTATCCTCAAGCAACTAGCCACCGACAGTTCGAGACCCAGCCAATCTGGCTTCATCATGACTAGGAGCCTTTGCCAAGAAGTGCGCCATGGCAGCGTGAAAGCTGCATGAGAGTTCTTGCTAGCGCGTGCGGACGTTTGGTCTTTGTGGAATAGCCAGAAGACCCTTTTCCATGGCGTTGCAAGTGGGGCACATGGTGCTTAGCAATGTGTTGCTGAATTCTGCTATATTTCACGCGCTAAATACACTCCAAGTCTTGGCATTTCGGGCCAACATGTTAAAGTTCGTGCGGTATCTGTAACCTTTCGTTTTCTTCCTTCTTTCAGCCAGTGATTTTGTGCATGTTATGCTTGCCAGTTTGTTCGTGGCTGCAACTTCCATATTTTTGTTTCCATGAATTGTCGCGCTTTGTTTTCCCATCTGCTGTTGGGGTTGGTGTTTTGCCCGTTGAGTTCATGCGTGTTACGCAGTGTTTTGTTCTTGTGGTTGAGGTGCATACTTCAGTCAGACAAAAGGTTATGCTTCTTGCCAACTTTGAAAAGACGTTTTCAGGTCAGCCGCGGATCAAATTAACAAGTGCGTTTTGTGCGGCAGGCGTGGGACGGTCAATTATCAGCCTTTTATTATTTATAATAATAAAAGGCTTCCCAGGTCCAAAATTGACCGCGCACACCCCCGTAACTCTCTTCCTGAAGGATTCTAGGGGGAAAGGGTTCTAATCGCTCAGGCCTTCAAGAAGCGCAACTTTTGTCCGGCCAATGTATGCTTTTGCGGGTGCCCCTTGCGATATTTATGTATTATTTTGTCGTTCTGCTGCGAGGTCGACTCATTTTTGTCACTTCCGCCTGCGTTCCGGGGGGGGGGATCATTGCTTTGGGCAACTGGAAGTGTCCGTTCATCCATCCCAACTGGTGCGAAGTGGGTTTGCCCATCCGCAGTGTCCCTCTTTCCCTCGCAGGACGGCACGGCTGTGGGGCTCATCGCTCTGGGCCAGGAGTGATAGGGATCGCTTGGGGAGACGGGGCATGCAACACTGAGCGCTTTTGGTCTTGGCCAGCCATTTCAAAGAGGAGGGTAAAATTAGCCCTTGTTTATGCTTCATCCAGAGCATGGTTTGCCCTGGTTTGCCCTGTCTTGATCCTGCTGCGTTTGATGAGGTCAGCCTCGGACAAGAGCAAACCACTATACCCAGGACTAGTTAGTAGGTTCAGGCAAAGAAGCTTCAGGTTGGAGAAAAACATGGAGGTGGGCATGCTATCTTTCGCGAGCAACAGATGACACTAGCAGATGTTCGAGTCAAGTACAAGTCTATGCTGGGCACTGCGGCACGGAACAAGCAGGCGCTTCCAGTCTGTTGCCTCTCCCATCTGTTTGGGACGTGGGATTCTAGTTCTCTGGCTTCCATGGCATCCATGGTGTCCTGCCGGTTCTTAGTTCAGCCACTGGGGCAGCACCTCAGGCTTTCCGACGTGTTCCGACGCCTTGCGCCGCGGCAAGGACATCACGGAAGTGCAAAGGAGCCAGGTGCAGGTGGGGTAGGGATGGGATGCTGCAGCCAAGAACATATTTTGGCCGTGGAGCTGTAGAGAGTCATGTGAGAATCATTGGAGGTAGCCATCGGAGGCGTGTGATTTCAAGGCTCTGAGCGCACAAGGCGTGCCCCAGACCTTGTGGGTCGTAGACCCCCCAGAGTTTTTTGCCAGGCCCGGATCGCCGAAGAGGAGATGCACATGCTGATCGCCATGGCCCTAAATGTGTCGATCCATGCGCTAATGTGCATGAGGGTAGCTGTTGAAATCGCACATGCATCAGATAAGGCTGGCACTTGCAGCGGTAGTATGTAGATGAGGTCCTGGTTTCAAAGTCTTGGCAGCGCCCCAACATCTATCAAAACATGGGCCGCATTTAGATAGATAGTTTGCAGGGAAGGATGAGGGTGTAGCACATGCGATCCAAAGCCTCAGAGCATCCGGATGAGTGCTCACTGTGGGTGCGCGTCCAAGGGGTTGAATGGTGCGACATGGTGTGACCATCAGGTTCTTTTCCTGGGCAGCTTGAGTGTTTGAGCGGGACCCTTCAAAGGTTTTCCTTTTGGCTTCTCAAGGCACCCGGAATGCGGCTTCTGTCTTACAACGTGCACTCGTCCAGCGGCGTTGGGAATTGTGTGGTGATCACCTCGGAGCCACTGCAGATCGACCCTCTACGACTGTGCCAGATATAATTATTCCGCCAGCCCTGGTTTGGCGAGGGCCCGTTTTGAAGAGGAAATCGGTTTCGCTGCGACTCCCTCTTTTACCAAGCGCCAACCTATTCGAAACCTGCTAGTCCATTACCTTTAAAAAAAGAACATATCACGAATAATCGCAAAGCTCGCCGTTGTTAGCCTGGATTGGACGACACAGAGCTGCGCCCAGGATGAAGCGCTGGGCCCTGTTTGGGGCATCGACCGGGATGGCAACATCAGCGCCCGGGGCCAAGAGCTGGTCCGGAATTCCGCTCTTTTGCGCGTATGTGTGTGTGTGTGCCGAGTCCCAGACCTATCCTGGGACCACAAATCAGTTCATGCAGGGGGCACGGCGCCTGATTTCCAAGCCGTGCCAACGAAGTTACGGAAATCGGGTGGATGAGACGCTGGACGCAGCATCTTGTACCTGCATTGTCTTGTGTGTTGCGCTGTTGCCTCGCAAAGACCAATGGCTCGATCGGTGATGCGTTCGTTGTTGAAGTTTCAGTCCGAAGCCAACTCGAAATGAAGCAGTCGAACCTGTCTCTCCTCTCCTCTCTTGCAATGTACCAAACCACCGCTTGGGGTATTGAAGTGTGTGTGTGTGTGCGCGTTTGATTGAGGGTACCCTTTCTGGTCCCTTTGTTTAAAGGGACCAAGACAAAGCCGCCCATTTTGGAGGTTGAAGGACGCCCGAATTCTTCAAATCCCTGGGCCCAGTGGCTGGGCCCCGTTCGGTTCCCGAGGTGTGGAACCGCAAGGCAGGGGACCCGCGCGGGCTGGGTGGGAAGCCCCACGGGGCCTTCCATTTGGTTTATTTTCCCCTGTTGGTGTTAAAGGGAACCTATCACTACTGGACATAGTTTTCATTTTCTCCGGGGGGGCTTGAGCAACTGGAAGGGTTCCTTCAGTCAAACAGGGCTTACAGGATGCTTGGGGTCAGCGCAAAATAGAACAATCCAACACCAGCTGATTTATGTCGAGGATCCCCAGCAGACGTTTTTCAGATGCATCCTTTAAGGAACCCGCCCGTTTGGGCTTGACGTGCCCAGATGGCGGAGATCACCGGGTTGTCGCTGCAGGAGGCGGGCGGAGAGTTTGGCTTTCAGCCCTTTCAAACAAACTCGCAGCAAGTTCACCAGGGCCTATGAAGGGGGAGGGGGATGGCTGCAGCTGGCGCATGGTACCTGAATACATGCGATCCATTTTCAGAATCCCAACGGCATTTGTGCAAATTCATCTCAATTAGAACTCTCACGGCAAAAACCTCCCAACAAATCGGGACATCCCAAGAACAGCTGTCGAAAGAAACACACCAAAAATAAGATAGACAAGTCATAGGCAGTGCCTCAGTGGGGAAAAGCTGCGGCGTGCCTACCTGGCCCTCTCATATGTACCAACCTTGGCGGATCATGGCCCCCCACTGATGCCAACACTAAATTCGCAAACACATGCAGAGCATGGGCGCATGCCCTCGCACCTTCCCTTCAAATGGCAATCTTCATGTGTAATGTTGGGCCTGCTTTAATATGATCCCCCCCCTGAACAATGGAACCAGTCAGCGGGACCCTGTTTAGGCAAAATCTGGGGGTCTGGGTGGGACTTTCAATTTGATTTAGTATTGGTAGACTTGAGTTTCCATTTGATTTGGTATTGCTGGAGCTTCCTTTTGAGATCTGGAACTGGGTTTCCATTTGATTTAGTATTGCTTGGAGCTTCCTTTTTGAGATCTGGAATTGAGTCTCCATTTGATTTAGTATTGCCGGAGCTTCCTTTTGAGATTTTGGAATTGAGTTTCCATTAGTATTGCTGGAGCTTCCTTTTGAGATTTCGGAACTGAGTTTCAAATTGATTTAGTATTGGTAGAGCTTCCTTTTGAGATTTGCCCCCAAAACCAGTTGAACACTAAAGAGGACCCCAAAACAATCACACTAAAGAGGATCAGGGTTGGTTGTGGGCAACCCCTTTTGTGTGATTGATTCACCTTGCTTTTTTGTAAAGAAGTTATCATCAATTTGATGGTTTGGGCACAACTTGCAAAATTGATTTCCTAGACCTCAGGCCTTTTACCTTTGGGCTGGGGAGAGCTTAGCATGAGCCACCCTTAAAAGTAAAAGGCGCAGGCTTTGGTTTGGGAATATCAGGAACCCCCCAAGACCAGTTAACACTAAAGAGGACCCCAAAACAATCACACTAAAGAGGATCAGGGTTGGTTGTGGGCAACCCCATTTGTGTGATTGATTCACCCTGCTTTTTTGTAAAGAAGTTATCATAAATTTGATGGTTTGGGCACAACTTGCAAAATTGATTTCCTAGACCTCAGGCTAGCTCAGAACCAGCCTCCAGCTCAACAGCAGCTGAGGCTTAGTCCAGCTTGAGCCCGACCTGAGCCTGCCTAGACCAGAGTTGAAAACAAACAAGCCTGTACTTTTTTGGTTTTTTTGGGGAGGGGAAAAAACTTGCAACAATAGCGGGCCCCTAAAACAGTCTCAGGATCCTGAATTGCAAAAAACGTTCTTACAATAGCAGCGACTTTCATTAAAGCGGGTGTAACATTATGTTTCCGCAACATTGGGCTCTTAGAATGTAGCTTGCAAGATTTGGAGCCTATCCTCTCAACCCCCCTTAGACTTGTTAACCCAAGCGCCCGCTTACCCCCGTGGCAACGGGGGGACACCCGGAGGCCTCCGGCCGGGCGCTGCTGGACATGGGCTTCGTCGCAGAGGAGGCTTGTCCTTTGGGTCGCCTGTCGGGCGGCAGGGCAACGGGTATTGAAAAGGGGCGCAACCAATGTCAACGGGGGGGGGTTGGAAGGCTTGGACTCAGCAAAGGGTTTCAACTCGGAGCTTGAGCTTGGTGCACTAGACTTGGCTCCCAGAAGGAATCTGAAGAGACATGTTTTAGGGTGCATGATTTTAAAGAGCACCGCCATGATGTTAATTACAGTTGGCAAAATAGATGCCGTGGGGATGCTTGAGCTGGGCCAGCTCTGGCCTTGCATTGGAAAGCCACCGCAGTATGAGCTTTATGTTTCCAAGTAGGGTAACTGGAGGCAGCTTGTGGTTAGCACGTTGTATTGGCACGTGTGAAGAGCGACAGTTGCATTGGCGCGATTCGAAAGGCACCCCCTGCATTCATGAATCGCGGCATTGCTGCATGCCGACGTTGGCTTGAAGTCATGTTGGATGTAAGGACTCCGATATTTTTGTGAAGACGCCGTCCTGGGTCAAACGTGGAGCTCCCAGAACGGAGCCCAAGAACCTTCCAACTGAAGCCATTAGGTGCCAAAGGCCCAAATGGGTACCTTCCCTTCCACTAACATGGCTTCTGACAGAAGGCCCCTTGGAGAGATTGATCTTCCAGCTACCCTCCCACAGGTGCCATGTTGGTTGGAGGAAGGGTAGTCGTTTCAGCCTGCATGCGTCAGGACAAGCTGGAGATGTCCAATGCGCTGCGCCGGGTCTTTAGCCCCTCAGCCGCATGGGGCATCCTGGGCCTTGCGCTGGGGGAGTGGGGACACACGTGGTCCCCCCAACAAAATAATCTGAAACTACTTACTGGTAGGGTTTTTGCCTGGACACAACTCAACAAAAGTTGGCCATGTTCCCCCAAACCCGGCTGTAGGCTCAGGGTTTTGATAGGCCAAGAAAGTTTCGGCACGAGCGTCGCGGCTTAGGCGGCGAGGCCAAGGCTGAGTGCCGCCTCGCCATCCTCAGCGCGGGCCAGGAGCAAGAGGCGGTGACAGGGGAGGGGGGAGAAGTGGCTGAACATGTGTGTGGATAGGGTTTAATGTTGACGGAGCAAGCCAACCCTTCCCATTGATACGGGGGTGTCCCCCTCCAAAAGTGATGGTTCATCCGGGGTCAGCATTCTGAATGTTTGTGAAGGCGATTGGAAGCGAAGATACGAAGAGGTCCAGTTTTGTTGCGTGAAACGATGCCTGCCCACAGCACCTCCCTTTCTTTCAGGCTGGGAAGGTGTCCGGCGCAGAATATGGCAATGACTTTTTGTGGTTCTTTGAACAGAAATGCGTGCGAAATGGCAAGGCTGTGTGCTAGCAGGCTTGGCACGCGTTGCAGAGTCCCTCGTATATACAGATAACAGCTCAAGGCTCCTGTTTCCGGAGCCATGTGTCAACATAAACTTTTGCGTCGGTCCCGCAGGCTTTCCAATTGCCTGAAACCGGTGGGATAGGTGTCTCTTTTTGGCAAATCGATGGCAGCGTTTGTACGTGACAGAACTTCGCTGAATCCAGTGAAACACATCAACCACACGGAAACCATGTTCAGTTGTGGGTTGTCAGAAATTGGCTAGCTTTCCCGTTGCTTTCCCTCCTAGGTGTGGGACAAAAGATGGTTGAACCAACCCTCCGTGAGACGGCATCAAAGCACCAAGTCCTTGGGAAGCCCCGAATCCAGCAGGAGAACGAACAAGCCAGCCTTCTTGGGCAGGCATTCAGTTGGGTCAGGCAATGTCAGGCAGCTATTTGGTTGCGTCTTTTTCAGGACAGGACACGAAGCCCGGAACACTCAGTACCATTCCAAAGTGAGGAAAATGCAGTTGCAGCTCCAACAGAGACTGCAAGGCGACAGCTCGCAGATTGATCAATCTGCAACTGGCCCATGGAATTTTTGGGAGCTCTATCAAATAGAACTCAGGGCCCCTAATGATCACCGAAATCACGAAACTCACTAGATGATTTCAATCAATTTCAGAGATTACCTCCTGGCAACAACTTGCGCTCACTTGCGCTCGTCAGGCAAAGGCGTGGGACCTACGAAAAGCTCATTTTGCCAACCAACCCTTGCATTACTTGCCCCAGCTGTTTCAAAGCCTGCCCTTTTGGGGATGTTTAAGCAGGTACGCTAAACTTTGAGACAAAGGGGGGTCTCAAGGGGGGTATGACCCCCCCCCCAATGTATCCGTTGTCGGGTGCCCGCCTCTTCCGCCTTGAAAAGCCAGCAACCCACCCAGGTGGATATCACCGTGCTGCCGCGCCTGGGTGAGGGCTTGGTGAGTGGCGCCCTGCTCGCCCGGGGCCCCACGCCCTGCGCATTCGGCACGTCGGATTCGGGGGAGTGGGGTCTAGTCAGTGGGTGGTGTCGTTTGGGGCAGCCAAGGAGTTGCCTGAGATTTGTCTTGCGCTTTTGCCTTTTGGGCAAAAAACAGGTTCTGTTTTGGACGTCCCTCTTTTTGAGGGCAAACTATAGAATAGCACACATGGGGTTCCTGGCCCCAAATGTTTCTCAAAATAGACACCCTTTTGGTTGGCATTTCAAGGGATGCCATTTTTGGGCCGCCTTGCGACACCAAGCCGCGCCCAGCTCGCCCGGGATGATGAGCTGGTGCGCTGCGCTGCCCAACGTCAGCGGGAGGCGGAGGACGTCGAATCCCGGAAGTTCAGCGCTGGTTGAAAGGGAAGTCAATTGGGAAGCCAGCCATGTTTTGGTCCCACTTTTTTGGTCCAATGGGCAATGGGGGAGGGCCTGGTAGGGTCCCCCAAAATGCGCCTGATGGGTGGTTTTACACGTCACACGTTTGGGCGAGTTTACAGTGAGTTGTTGGCACGGGGTGATGTTTCTAGATTGGGACACCAATCGGAATTACCACACATTTGTCTTGAGGAAGCGCCCCACCCCCCATGCAGCTGGTGTCGCTTTTGGTTTGCCGCTGGTGCCACCTACTTCACGGCGTGCCAGCGTCGGCTTGATGCAAGGCAAGCAGGCCATGCAGGACCCACAGCAGAACTAGCTCAGGCTTGCCCCTTTGAGACCCCACTGCCGAATCGAAGAGTTCCGATTTTGCGAAGGACGTCTTCTTGGCGTGCCAGCAGTCCCCGAGCATGTCTTTCAGCCTTACGAGTGGTGAACTATAACTGTGCACTCTGTGCAAGTTCCCAAACCAAGTGAACTCTTTTCGACCATCACCGAGTCAGCGAGTCTCAGCACGGATCAGAGCGACGCCATGTGCGCGGCAAAGCGCCCGGCGCAGCGCAGAGAGAGGCGCTGGAGCCCCACCTGGACTGTGATGGCAGCGCGAGCCGCATGAGGCGTATTCTGCCAGTGGTCACGAACCTCAAATGAAACTGAATCTCTCACTCTCTCTCTCTCTCTCTCTCTCTCTCAGCAAATGTGATGTTTGTTTAGGCTTGTCCAAGTTTCATGGAGGCGCTTGGTAGCAAGCAATCTTGGGCAGCAAGCTTGCTTTTGCGCTTTTCGTGCCACGAACAGGCAGTGGAAATTCGCCTGCCTCATCTCACCCCACCGAATCACAAACACTGCTATGCCACTATGACTCTACAAATGTGCCATGGTGTTTGTGCCGATTTCGGTGTTACCACGGCTTTTTTTTGGGGGGGGCGCTCACCTCCCCCAAGCCTCAAAGCGCCGCTCATGGAGGCCCGCCAAGCCTAAGAAGCCCAGCGCGCCTTGGCAGCGCTGGTGTTTCGGCTTCCTTTTGGTGTCACATGAAAAGCCAACCCACAGGGGGTCCGAAGTAACCGGGGTTCAGAACTCCGGCTCTCGGATTCAGGATTAGCTGGAACTCATTGATCAATCTTGGTACTGGGGAGAGTTCACTAACGGGCTGCCCCCCTTCCCGGGGCCAAACAGTGTTGGGAGTTTCCAAACAAGGGCTCTTAGCATTCGTCAGAGATGGAAATCTTTGTATTGATAGCCTAATCTGGTGCTACCAAATCATCGGTTTATTGTTGCTGTGGTATTGGTTTCATATTGGCTTTAAGGGTCCAGGAAAACACAGGCAGAGCCCCCCCCCATTTCAATTGCAATTTGGGGCTGGTGTGGATGATTATTTGGGTGTGTGAAGCTGTGTTCTCTTATTCAGGGACCTGCATTGCTTGGAAGAGGTTTATGATGATTATACACTATGTAGGTCGACGAGTTTCATGGTGTCCTTAGATGATCTCTGGGTTCCAGGTAGTTCTCACGGTGGCATCAGCAGTCAGCGAAGAAGTTGAGCCAAATTTGTTGCATACGCAGGGGTCGTTCCTTTGCTAGTGGCACGTGTGGTTACCATTGACACCCAGAACACGTGAGGAAAATCCGCCAGTTTGGAGCTTTTCTCGGGGCGGGCTCCGCGCACCTTCAGTCAAACCCATGTAGGTGTTTTCCATCCCTTCATTTGCGCCTATTTATAGGTCGAAGAGCTCCTGCCGTTGCGCCTGGTGGGGGATTTCTGCAGTTGGCAGGCGGGGCACCCCTTAATCGTATGGTGTGGTGGCTGAAGGGGACCCTGGCCGCTTGTCATTCCCGCTCCTCGACAAACCTGCAGGAGCTTTGGCACATGGTCGGTTCAGTGTGGTTCCTAACCTTTGCAGTCAAGGACACATTTTTCTGCAAAAGTCAGCCGGTTTTTATCCGCGTTGCCCTTTGCATGTCTGATGGGATGGAGCAAGCCCAGATACAGTTGCAAGCCATGATCACCGCCCGCAAGAAAAATATGCCACACCGCACGCCAGCAGTCGCTAGCCGATCCAAAAAGAGGCCTTCGCTCTGCGTCGCATCACTTTGGTGGTTTGGACGTCAGGGCCCACTTGGTTTCAAAGGTATCGGGGTGGAAATCCCCGCACTGAACAATGGAGCAACGGCTTGGTGTGATGTTCTTGCGAGGTGTCGGGCTTGCCTGTTGCTTGGGGATATGTTTGCACGCCCGGCCAGCTCAGACTACCGTCTCCAGTTTCCTCGTTCTAATTTTCTGAGAGGAAAAATGATTGGAGCAAACAACGAGGCCATGCTTGGTCACAGCGCTTAGCGGCAAGCTTCCAGTACGCCCAACTACATGGGGACCTTCAAAATGCGTGGCTTCGGTATACATTGGGAAGGTTTGAGTAAGATAGACTTGTGGCAATTGAGTATGGTTGGATAAAGTGGCCAGCGAGGCGCTTGAAGACACATGATGTGGCTAGTGTGTAGGTTCTTTCGACCATATCCCTGACGAAGAAGCAACGGGGGAACCGGCTGGCATCGAAACGGAGAAAATACCTCGGCGCCGGGGTTTAGGGCGTGGAAGTGGATCTTGTGCACTTCCGGCAGCTCCGGCTAGTCGGTGGGGCGCTAGGCGGACGTGCCCGGCTTGGAGCTCCAGGCCAACGGCTCCCAAGTAGGCGCTTGCCGATTGGGATGGGTGGGGAGGAGACTGTGGAGTTTGGGTACGATGAGTCTGCGTGTGTTGGTGTTGGGGGGGGGGTCTATGGGTTATGGGCCAATGACATATGGACATGGTCTCAGGTGGTGTGTAGGGGTCTGGCCCTAGGTTCTTGGTCCTTCAGATGCACCCGGTTTAGCACATTTGTTGTGATGTGACTTCTCTTGAGTTTCAAACCTGAGTTGACGTGCGGCCGGGCAGGATCAGGCTCGTCATGCTGGGGGAGGGGGAGCTGCAACTTTTGAAGGACCAGCGCCCCAAAGAGCATTCATTGCCAACCGTCTTGGCAGAAGAAAGCCGTGCCCACGCAGTTGGAACACTTCGTTTTGCAGTCATGCTGAGTTTTCAAGGCCTAGATTTCGTTGCAGAGCGCAGCTATGAGCACCTTAGCGCTCAGGAATGTTGTCATATTGTCACCACTATTGACGTTTGGGAGGTTTTGGTTTCGGGTGCGTCTTTTTTTAGAGGGTTCCTCCCTTTTTGGGCCTGCTTAAAAGGAATGTTTGAGGTTCCGATTCCTATTTTGAGACAATCCCACATAGTCAGTCACCTCTACATGGTAAATGCCTCAAGACACGTCTGCCAGGCGGGAAGGTCTTGGAGTTTTTCTTGCCTCTTGAGATCCAGGACTGGGGGCGAGCAATGATGTAATGTCGACCCCGGAAGAAACTTGTCCTACTAATTGGAGGTGTCGCCAAAGTGAAGGTCACCCAACTGTTGGTTTGGATTTTGGATTTGGATTTGAATCCCTGGGGTCGTTGTTTAGAGGGCAACTGGTCCAAGGCCAATCCTAACCAATGAGAGGGAAGCTGAAGCAAGGCTCAAGCAGCCTTCTGTCGCATCAAACTGGCGGATGGCCAACAGAGGATGCATTACATATTGCAAGTAAATCCCTGCTGGCAACATTAAAGGCATTCTCCGTATCAATGGCTGACGTCACGGTGTCAATGGAATCAGCGGCAAGTCAAATGCTAAGGACTTGCTTTTGTTGCCGGGGTCATTCCAGCTCACTTTGAGTTCAGGGAAGCGCCGCATCAATCAAGCCTCAAAAAGGGGGCTTCAGATCCAACCCAATGGGAGGGTTTTGGGATGTTTTGGGTTCATCCCAGGAGAGCTCCGTGGAGTTTCAGATCATCAGCAGCCCCCTGGGCTTCCAAGTCCGGCTCTACCCCAAGGAGGGAGCGGGGCTCCTCAAGGCACCAGTCGACAAAGGGCGGCCGTGTGTCGAGCGCTTCGGTCGGCGCGATGTGATGCGGGGTTGACTTCAAGGCTCTGAAGGTGGTCGGTGTCCTCTTGGTTTACTTGGGGTGGGGGGGGGGGACTAATTTTAGAGCCCCAAAACCGGCCCTTGGCGTTTGGAAATGCAAGATGAGAAGTGAGCGTAGAGTTTAGGCTATCAGCATTGGGTTTCGCAGGGTGGGAAGCCAACATGCGGCCGGGCAGCATGCGGCCAGTGCGGGCTTCGTGGGTTTTTAGGGTCTTCCAGGAAAGTCGAAGGAGTCGGGAACCTGACGTGAGAGCTTTGTTTTTGGCAAGGGAGCGGTGCGGCCACTTTGTGCAACGTGCAAGTCCGGTTCGATGAACATGTTTTTCGGTGGAAGCTACCCTCTCTCACGCGGGGTTTTCTGTAGTTTGTTGGAAGGGAACTGGCCTGCGGCTGGGTCTGGACCTGTCGCGCCCCTCCAGCAGGCCGATGAGAAAATGGGCGCCTCCGAGGCGAATGCGCTGGTGGGTGGCAGCGGCGACGGCCACGGCAGGCTCGAGCCTTGAGCCGAGCCTCGAGCCGAGCCTCGAGCTGCCTGTTGGGTCGTGCAGGGTAGGTGGCGGGTAGTGGGGGGTGGCTGGCCTCGAGGTGGCGGTTGGGCCTTTGGACAGGTCTTTTGAAGCATATCTGCGTCTCCTTGCTTGATTTAAGCTTGCTTCGCAGAAGGGAGTTACATGCTGCTGGCACCAGCCTGTGGCAGGAACTTCGTCATTCGGGACACCAAGGCCTTTGGGAGCAGCCGTTGGTCGCAGAATCCATGACCCGCCGGAATGTAAAGTGGAGGATATGCTTTCAGCTGGACTCAGTCACCAGCGGACACGATCCCCCCTTGTAATCTCCACGTCCCCGAGGTAAATCCAAATGTCACTTGTGACAAAGGACTTTTGCTCAGTTGGCAACTTGATGTTCAACACCCAGCAGAGGTTTCAGAAACCTTGCTTGCCTCAAGTTGAAGCTCTACCGGTTTGGCATTCTGGTTTGACGCCTCCATGATCCTCCATGGTTCAACTTGATGGGATTCTTTCAAGAACGCATGTGCACCACTTTGAGCGCTACTTTCACCATCCTTGCCCTTGCTCTCCCCTCCCCCCGCCCTCCGCCGGAGGCCAAAGCGCTTCTGGTGCGCCTGGCTTTGGGCAAGAAGGGCGTGGCCGGCCCGGCCCTGGCAGCGCAGGTGAGCTATGCGCAGAAGGAGAGGCCGGAACCCCATGGCACTTGGCAGTGGTGTCAGGAATGGGCCTCAGGGGGGTGCGTGCTGATTAAGGGTTACTTCACAAGTCCCATGACCGTTTTTTTCTTCTCCTCCTCAGTGTCACTGATAATGGGTCATTGGCAGAGGCAACGAGCCTGGTGCAGCATGGTTGAAAAGGGAGAGCATCCACTTTGAACATAGAAAGTTAGCCGGCCTCTTCTTTTTCGCAGGGAGTTCCATGTTTCGAGGGCCCCAGGGCCTCCCACAAGGCAGGGCTTCCCAACGGTGCAGATCGGCGACGGGAAGATTCGAGTGCTGTCTGGAGACGTGGGCCAGGCAAACCGGGGACGGGCCGACTGCCTCTTGAGCCTGCCGAGATTTAGGTGCCATAGATGCAGAGTCGGTTTGCATGGCGGGCGGTCTGGTTTAGTAAAGCCTTATTCGGGTCAGCAGAGGAAGCTCGTCATCCACTGATGAACAGTCTCGGATCGATTGGCCAGTATGGTGCATGCTGCTAGAAGTCCAATTTCACACTCAGGGGCCCTTGCCACCAGGCACATGTTGGCAGACCTCAGGCTTGACAACCAAAGATGAACAGTTGCAGCTTCTCTTTTGAAGGCCCACCCCTGCAGAACATTCATCCGTACCGTAAGCAGTCAAACAATGGTACCGGTCACATGGAAGCCAAGGTCGGCGAACATCATTTAGCAAATCATGACAAGCTCACTGATACAGGGTAAGAGTAGGTTCCTTATTTCCAATTGATGAGTCAAGAGAAATGGGTGCGTCTCAAACTGGAGGGGAGGAGGGGCGCTCAAAATTGTGGTTTCGCTTTCCCCTTGGTATTCCTTCAAAGTAAGCCCAAAAAGGGCACCCTCAAAACAAGACACCCAAATATGCCCAGACATGGCCACATGACCATTGACGCCCAGTCCTGTTTTCCGTTCTTTCGACGTTCAGGTGGCTTGGAGCAGCGACCCCGACAGCCTAAAGCTGAAGCAGCTTCTTCCCCTGCGCCGACCCCAATGGGTGCAGGCCAGAGGTCCGTTTCAATCTTTTGGCGTTTGGGGCTTCATCTCACCTTTTGGGCCCTCAGGTGAGTTATCAAGGGACCAAGGAACCCTGCAGCCCCTCTTTTGAGGATGGGGAGGCCACATGCCGTATGGAAACTTTCGACTGACAGATATCCCAAGGAAGAGGGACATACACAAACCATCACAAACCCACACGCCCTTATTCTGTGATCGCGGCCTCTTGATGGCAGACAAGGTGACAACCATTAAGTTGTAGTCCACAGAGGCTGTGAATGAACATCTGACTTCAAATGTGCTGCTAACATGGTCAAAAGAAGTGCTTGTTGATTCGTTGATGGTCAAACAAATGGAGCATTTTTGAAGGAAAGGTTGTATCTACTTGCGCATCCGTCAACCCAGGGTTTAATCCAGGCCTGATTCTGGCAGCAATGGAGCATGAGGAACTCTTCGGCCAAGTTTGCAGCGTCTCCCCAAGTATCGAACCTGGGGAGCTGGGAGGGGGGGGAAGTGCAAGACTGTCATATACGGCCTGGTATGGAGGGCACTCGGTCAGTTGACATGGTGCTCTCTGTGTGACGGTCTCTTTAAGTGCTTGTTGAGTAGCCAAATGTGTACTAGCAATTCTGGGCGGTCAACCTCATTGTTGCTGCCCTTTTTGAGTGGTTCTTCTGGGGAGTGCGTGAGGTTTGGGAGTCGTTTTGGTGTCGCCTAGGCGCCTTGTTGGCCAGCCTTGCTCGTGGCGCCTGGAGCAGTCAGGCGCGCTGTGAGGGGGCAAGCATTCTGCCTTGCTTGACGCGGCCCCCAGGAGACAGTTTGACCAGGGCTTGCCTTTGAATGGGGGTTGCTTTCTTTTGCGGCAGAATCACATGAAGACACCAAGGGCCTTACAAGAAGTTATGATTGTGCTCACCTGCCACTTGTGTGGGCAGAGGAAGGTCTTGAAGGCCGTCACCTTGGGCTCAAGGCATTGTTGGCCCCATGGCGCCACTGTCAGGCCTCACCTTTGCGGATGCCGACAAGCAAGGCAGGACTGGTCATGTTCTCCTGCTGGGACGTAGGCCCCACACGGGGCTACACTTTCTTCACCTTCTTGACTGGGCCAGGGTCGCAATCTCCTGTTTCTGCATGCGGCAGCGACGATTACGATGCCTGAGGGCCCGGGGGTTGCTGCAGTTCGGAAATGCCGTAGGATTTCAATAGAGGTCCATCAGCCAATCATCAAGCAAGGACGAACGGCACAGGTGACTGTGTCACAGGGCGTTGAACCAAGCTTTGGAATAGCAAGGTGCAAAGGCGAGAGCCCGCAGGAAGTGTGTTGAGACTTGCAAGCATAGGAACCTTTGTGCTCCTTGACTTTTTGATGGAGCTATTGAAGGTTGTTGCTGTTGGAAGCAAAGGTGCATTATGTCAAGTTGCTTGTTGGAGGCCACAAGCCCCGTCGCTTGACCAACCAAGCTCGTTTCCTTCCCACTTCTGCATGTGTCCCTTGATCTACTTTTAGGGAATGCCAAGGAGGAGCGTTGATTTCTTACAAATGGGCTTAGTGAGTCGCAACACGCAAGGAGCAGGGCGTTCCAGTTCCTTACCAAACGTTGATTTCTTGTTCCTTGCCCTTGAGCCCACAGACATGTTGTTCCTTCTTTGCAAGGCGAGTGGCAAGGCTTCAGCCTGTGCTGTCGGCTGCTGACACGGCAGGCAGGAGATTTTGTCTTGCAGAGTAGCGTCGTCTTCGCCGAAGCCGCATAGAAGCTGACAGGCGTTGAGCACGCACTTGTTTCCTTGCAAGTTTCCACTTGCACTTTGGAGGCCAACAGGCTTGTAGGCACGATGACGGAACGCTTTGGCTATCAGCATTGGTGACATTCGCAACGTGAGCGAGGGGCCTGAAAGGAACGTTTTTTTTTTTTTTTTTCTCTGCGGAGGCGCTTACCTTGCGTTTTCCTAATATGCATTGAATAGGTGCGACAGCACTTAGATGTCAAGTTCCAATCCGCCTGCCCGTTTCAGAGCCCCACACCTTTCTTTTCTGCCCTCGTGAGTAATTGTGAGTTGATTGAGAAAGGGTGCGGGTGCTGGAAGGATTGCTGGAGGGTGGAATTGCTGGAATCGACGCGATTTGAACCGCCCCATGGTTTTTGTTGGCTCTTTCCGACTCCAACTCCGATGCAAATGCCACGGGCCCCACTTCCATTTCCAGGCTCTGGTCAAAGTCTCAGAAAGGTGCAGGGTCGCCTTCTTGGGCCCAGTGAATATTTCTATGGCCTGGGCGTGCCTTTTTTGTTCGAAGGAACCCTTTTTTGACTGTCTTGAAAGGGGAAACCTGGAAGGGGAAACCTGGAAGATCAGTTTTTTTTGGAGGGACTGGGTCCCTGTCAGGTGCCATGTCAGTGGGAGAGAGGGTATTTTTTGGTTTGGGGGAAGGGGGGTCGCCTCAAACACGACACATGGCCATGGGTCAAAATCCAAATCGTACCCCCGGTGAACATCCCAATCCCCACTGAAATAGGTTCTAAAATGGGTGGTGAATTCATCTAACAACCACAGCCACATCCGCATCTACTTCCGGGAGTGGTCGAAACAGATCTTTTTCAGGTGGACTTCCAGGTGGTCAGCGACAAGATGGGCTTTGGCTGGCGCCTCTTTCCAGAAGGAGGCGAAGAACAGCGCGGGGAAAGCTTTGAAGTTGGTTTCGCAAAATGGGTGGCTCGGGTTTCTGTTTTGTGAGGGAAGCCACAAAATCAGTGGTTTCCCTTTGGCAAAAAGTGACAGTTTTCGGGGACCCCCCAATGTGTGGCATGCCGCTATTAAGTCCTTGCTAGTGCGGCCAGTGGACTCACAGGCGGAGGTGGATGATTAGAGAAGATGAGATCTTGGGCTCATTGTGTTCGGTCCATTCATTCGCATCCTTCTGGTTTCTTGCCCTTTGGATGCCAAGCGAAAAGGGGTGCGAATGCCATTTGGGTGTGCCCTTTTGAACCCCGTCGTTGGTGAGGACAACCAAAAGAAACACCAAAAGGAAAACCACCCGCTGGGGGCGCAGGGCAAGTTCTTAAATAGACTTTGGCAAATATACTTGCAACAGAGCAGAGAAAAACATTTCCCGCAGAAATCAGGGCTGCGCCTTTTGCCCTTGCGACATGCTCAAGTTTACCGCAGCTGCCCAGGGCCAGGTCGTGTCGATCTGTTCGTTGGTCGGTACCCCCCGCTTAGAAACCGAGCCCCGTCCAAACCCACCCTAAAAATCCTTTGAACCCTCCTGGTGATGCCGAGGAAAATGTGAAAACAGATGCTGGGATACCGACGGTGCTGGTGTAAAACAGGTGCATTTTGTTAGCGCATGTCAGAATTTCCTGGGCTATCTAGTCTCTATCCTTTCAACTAGCTCTTGGCTTCCGTCGTTTGCGCCGGGCCAGCCGGTGGTCAAGCCAGGTACTGCTCGTGTCCCATTGACCCCCGAGCCCCATGACGCTGCGGTTGCTGCTATCGGCGGCAAGGCGAGGCTGGCGAGTTTTTGCCGTCCCAGTCATGGGCCTGGTTATGTGCTAACAGTAGCATTACCATGTTTGTTGTGATGTTTGCTATAATTTTCATCTTTGGTTTCATGCTCGTCGTCAACCTCGTTTTCATGTGGTCTTCATCTTCACATCGTACCCACGTAATTATTTTTGGTGTCTTCCTCATCTTCATCTTTACCGTCATCATTGTCCTTGCCCGTTTGGTCAATGATGATGTTAGGCTTGCTACGCCAGCCGCCGCCTCGTGAAGACAGAGCTTTGTATACACCGGGAATTAGCAGGCGGAGCGACAAGACAATTTGGCAGATGTGCCCAGGCAACACTGCGGAGATTTGGGGTCCTAACTTTCCAGACATCTAGTGTTTGAAAGAATCAGGCCAGTGCCTACTACACCCCCTTATTTGATTTGTTTTCCGTGTTGCATCAAACTAACTCGCAATGGCAACAGGCCAGCTTTGGTTGGGATCTATCAAGTGTGGCCGCCGCTTCGTGTGCTGCCAGGATGATGGGTCTGGGCAGAACTTCTCTCTGAGTGGCCGGCCTTTGAGTGCGGCGGGCTTGGGGTGTCACAAGCAGCAGGATGTGGTGGGTGCGGCGGGCGGCGCCCGTCAGAGCTGATGGCTATGCTCCGTAACTGTAAGGTTGGAAAGGGTTCGTGTTTGTATGAGTGAGTTGGACGGTAGCTTGGTTTGACTCTTTAAGCTTCGTCCTTCAAGCGGGCATATATTTTGCCAGGCTGCTCAGGATGGCCACAGAGCATGGGCGATTGCCTAGCATGAGCTTGCTTGCAGCTTGCGCGCGTTGAGGTCGTTTCCATCACAGCGTGGCTGAAGCTGGATGGCGAGCGCGTGCTGGGTGCACGTGTAGGTGCGGCGCAGGGCGCCGTTTCTTCGAAGACGCGCTGCCTGAATTGCTACTTTCCCCACGCCCTGTGAATCAAATGATCGTGAATTCATTGATTTCAGCAGGTTGTGCATAAGCAAATTGGAGTGCATCATATTCTTATACATCTCAACATGCATGAACTTGTGCCATGCATACACATTGTTTACTCATAGATTCATAGACTTTACAGCTTCCTTCTCGATGGGCTCTTTGAAAGATACAGGTGCCGAGGGGTTTTCCCTTCTGACCTAGGTTTGATGAATATATGTTTTCCGGAAGCTTGCTTTTTATTTAGAATCGCTTCCCCGGATCAGGTCATGCCAGCTCCAATGAGACACCGAAAGTGGCCATCGGCGCGCGCCACTCGCTGGTCTAAAGAGGGGCTGGAGGTTGGAAAGGGCAAAGGGCTCCCAAAAAATTCGTAGGGATCAAGTAAGGCAAAAGGGGATCTTAGGGATGATCATTCTGTGGACATAGTTGGAGCCCGAGGCCGTGTGCAGTACCCGGTCCCGGCGGTGATGACCCCCTTGGGGCCTGAGCTGCTGGAGGCAGCGCAGACCGATGAGGAGCGTGAGGACTGGGCCGAGGGGAGTGACCCACGGCAGGTCACGAGCGGAGTACTAAAGGGGGTGGAGCCTTTTGCTTTTTCTTTCACAAGCGATGGACAACGCAATGCATCCCCAATTTAGTTCAGTTCTCTTGAGGATGGGCGCCAGGATTTCTGAGCCCCGTTAGCACAAGACGATAAGGAGGGGGAATGGATAAGGCTTCATAGGCTTGCCCAGCAAAGCAAGTGGCAAACGCTGCGTGAGAGATGGGCTTTCTGGACAATAGCAGTAAGCACAACAATTATGTTCCGTGGGAGACATTATTTCAATTTCCAGCCGTTTGTGCAATGAACGGCTTGCTGAGACGTGTACTGCTCTCTGAAGAAACCATGTTCTCACGATGAAGCCCTGTGATTATGCACTGACAGAATGAGGGATGGATCACACTTGCAGGGATCCCCCGTTCGTGGTAAACTCCTAGCCGCTGCTGATGGGCGGGAAGGGTGGCTGGCTCGGGGTTGGGTGAGGCAGCAACTCAGCAGCGAAACGACTGCCTGCGGCGAGCCATCTGGAGGCGAGGAGGATCCCGGGACCAATGCAGTGGACAAAATCCTGCACGGGCTGGGATGGATGAACCCAGCAAGGGGAGCTGAGTCAAGGGATCTCTCGTGGCTTTGGGGCCAACTTGCAGGACCTTTCATCCCCTGACATGCCCAAACACCCACTCCCCTCCACCCCAAAAAATCCGAAAGAGAAGCTGATACACAAATCAAAGGCGCTCTTTTTGTGATTTTGTCCCGGGTAGAGTTCCACGGCGGTTGAGAGAATTCGCGCATCGCCCAACTTGCGTGGTGGGGGAAGCGTGCGGCCAGCATCCAGCGGGAGTATGCAGCGGAGGATGTGCAGCAGGAGGTGCTTGCACTGCGGCAGCTGTATCCTTACCAACAGCTCCTTGGCTTGAAAAACAGGGTCTCCGATGGTTTTTCACTTCCCAAAATCACCACCCCCAGAACAAGTGGGGTATCTGCTGTTTATAAAGTGCCTATCGAGTGCTTATACATCCCATTGCATCCTTGGCATAAATTTTGCAGCTTTTGTCGGCGCTGTCATCTTTGAACAACGACTATGATCTTCAATGGTGTTTCTCCCTGATAGATTTGATAGCACTCGTTTCGGGGTCTGCCGGCTGGCTGTCATTTGCATTTTGGCTCAGGAAGAAGAGTATTCTCGCTTTGGAGATGGAAGCAGGGCAGCAGCAAGAGGAGCAGGCCGGGTAGTCGCGCTTTAATCAGGGGCTGGGCAAATGGGGGGTGGCCAGTGATGCCAGGGTCTTTTGCGCGCGCTTGATAGGAGGAGGAGGACGGGGTGCAGTCCTACGTCAAAGCTGTGCAGAACCTGAAGCGAGAGAGTCTTGCTTGGAACTTGTTCCACCGTGGGGTGCTGCACTGCTGGGATCTGCTTTTGTTGCACCAGCTTCTTGTTCCCAAGCCTGCAGTATCACAGGCATGAGAGAGGCACCGTGCAAGCAGCCCAGGAGGGAAGTCATGGAACATGTTGTTTTTCGCACGGCTAGGACGGGCAGGACATCAATCTTTTAAAGGTTGCACAACTGTTCCCAGGACTGTCCGCGGCTGCTCCCATTGTCACAGAGAGAAGGCTCCGAACAAATTGTGAGCTCCAGTCTAGCTACTTATACTACATCACTTCTAGATTTTCGCTCACAATCGCGCTTCACCCAGTTGTTTGGATACATTGGACCGAGACATACCTCAGACACTTGCCCAAGGAACGCGGAGGAAGATGGAGGCGCAGGACCGGTCCTCTTCGCCAGTCGTGCTTTGACATGCTTGATTGGGCTGACTCCACCCAGCTCCCTGGTGATTTGCACATGTCGTATGAAGTGCCTTTGGGACCTTGGCTGCCCCCACCCACTTGGCCATTCCCCAGGCTCCATCAGTTGGAGCGGCTGAGTCTGCCTTTTGCAGTAATCATCCTGGAGGAGCAGGAGAGTTTACCCGATAAGCGAAGGGGGACTCACCTTGTGAATCAACCAGGGGCCAACCAATGATGGGCCCCCACCGCAACTTCCCAAAGCTGGGCACAATCAAAAGGCTTCTACTTGAGCTTGTTTGTGCGTTTAGGAGGCGCCCGGCCACATCTCTATTGGGCCTTGCCACCAATTAATTGAGCCCACCCAAAGCTGGCATGGACCCCCAATCGCAAAACTGGGTTGACATCCTGCAGACCCTGCTTTTGGTCGCCCCCTGCAAGGAGCCATGCAGACCGAGGAGGCAGGTGAGCCTCGGTGTGCCTCGGCCAGACTTGTCCATCGGGGCATGGGTCAGAGAGCTGGTTCATATGTTGGCGTGGATGTGCCTAGTCGGGCTGATGCTGCTCGGCTTTCAATGAAATGTTTGGTCCAGGTCTTGGTTCACATGACATTCTCTATTGGGCCCTTGCTGGACGAAGCGCCAGGCCAGGTGCAGCAAGGGCCGCGCTGCATGAGAGCCAAATGCGGAATAGTCAAAACCATGTCGTCCTTTCAAGGGCGTTCTTCCATTTTACGCCACGAAAAGCAGAGTGTGGTCCCAGTCAAAACGCTGAAGGCTTTGCTCAGCCGCAGAACTTCCCCTCGCTTCTGGCATTGAGAATGATAGCCTTTTGGGAACCAGCACTTGACAGTCCCAGATGTGGAAGCCTCCTGGCCTCGCAGTTTTTCACCCTCTCTTGCTTGATAATTGCTGCTTTCTCTGTGGCGCGCTACCGAAAACGACATGACCACGCACCTACAGACATGCATGCTGAGCGTACTGACTACGCAGGTTCAAGTCGTCAGCAACGCTTTCAAGCTTCAAGGAGGGATTGTTTGATGAAAGCTACCTTGTTTGCTTGGGAGCCAAGTGGCCCATTGGTGTTTGTTACCCGCTGTGCTACCGTGTGCTAATGAGCCACATGGGATCGCGCAAGCAATGGGCTCACGTGGATGTGTCTTAATTGGGGGTAGCACTCAAGCTAGGTGTCCTTTTGACACATCTCCAAAATTAGTTCAAGTTGAGGTTTCCTCCAAGACAAACGACCCATTTGCCTTGGTGCGATAGGGAATGAGGGAATCACTAACCCAGGGGATTCCTTTAAAGGAAGCCACTTGGATGGGTTTTCTTGGGTTCATTCCATTTCTCATTTTTGCATCTCTCGCACAGGTGAGCCGAGCCCCGAGGCTGGCGCAGATCTCATTCGCTTCGGCTGTCTCGGTTCACTAAACACGGTGGACCCCTGTCGGCAAGGGACGCGCCTCCATTCTGTAGAAAAACGCATGTGTGTATATATACGTATGTATGTAGTAGTTCCGGGTATGGCTTGCCCGGGGCAGCAGCATGTGTGCCTCAAGTGTACCCCGGCTGCGGGGCTTGGCTTCTTGCGGCCCTTGCGGCCCTTGCGGCTGCCGCTCATCAAGACATGGCTGCCAAGTTGCTGAGTGCTTGGTGAACGCGATGCCTTGCCTGCGTTACTCCAACCTGCGGCCTTTCCATGGCATGATGGGCTCTTGTGAGGCTTTCCAGTCGGCGACATGTCTTTGAGAGAAGTCGCTAAGGCCAAGTGAAACGGCCATTGGCGATTGGGGGGGCCCTCCAAAACCAAAAGGCCGCTATCACTCAAAGTCAAGGTCTAACCATGTGCAGTCGAGTTGTGCAAGCATGCAGACCGACCATGCCGACTGACCACTTCTCTTTAGGACAATGTAAAGGAATCCAAAGTTTTCTGAGAGTGTTTTGCAAAAGAAACGTGTTTGCCTCACGTGAAGGGCTGATCTGCTGCCACCGTGCAGCAAACAGTCGCTGTCCGGAGTAGCAAGTTTAGACTTTCTTGTCTGCCAGTAGCTTGTGGGAGCATGTGTATTTTCCCCCACTAGCCGGCGAAAAACTTAACCTTTGGCACTGGGGGTCAACAGCCACACAGCTGTTTTTGGCGGTCTAGCTGTTTTTTTTCTGGAAAAGTAAGCCGCACTGGAAGGCGAAAGTAAGCCGCACTGGACCGGACGGCCGTTTTTGGGCCAATTCACTCGAGAAGTCACGGTTTGGCAAAAATTATCCGGGCCTTTGATGCCGTTTTTTGGGTCGTCCCAGCTTGAAAACTGCCCATGCCAGGCCGGCCCCAAAAGCGCTGAGGAGGAGCACTGGAGTCTTTGTCGGGCAAAGGCAATGTTTGGCTGGATGATTGCAAACATACAAATGTAGGTAGATAGTCGTAAATGCATGTAGACATGTATATGTTTCCTTATGTATATATATATATATGTATATACATAGACATGTGTGAAAAGACACATATGCATACGCAATACACGCACTACATACGTAAATATACATATGCGGATGCATACATGCACATTTAAATATGGACTACGTATATATACATATATAAATGAATGAATAAATATATATATATATATATATTGTACATATATATGTATACATATATATATATATATATATGTATTTTTATATCCACGCATGTGTTGCGTTTAAGGGGCGCCCTCCCCCTCGGGCATCCTGGCCAGGAGCTGCGGCAGCACTGTTTGCGTGGCCTGGCGGCGGTGCAGCGGTGCCTTCGGCAGGTTTTGGTCGATGCCAGGAGTGGGTCGGGTTCCAGGTGCTTTTCTTGACTTTGGAAACCAAGGGATCGTGACTTTTGGGTGATCTAAAGATCAGTTTTGGGTTTCGGGTGCTTTTATTGGCTTGGATCTTTAGACTTTAGCTTTTTGGTTGAAATCAAGAAGGGCTTTCCACTGAACCCCCAAAAAGCTATTCACTTTGTGCAGGGGGGGTCAACAGCAACCAAGTTTTCTGTTGCTTTGTGTGCAGATGGATGGCTGAAGCCCATGACTGAGGGCTTTTTGGGACACAAGTCTTGCATCATGCATTTGCTGCGCGAAGGGATGAAGCCCACTGAGGCAGGTGGCGCAGCATAGCAGCGAAGCTAAAGGTGCGGTGGGCAACATGCGGCACAGCACAGCACGCTTTAAACATCGCAGTCACCAATGGTTTAACGATGCCCTCTCGTGGAACAGGTGATGTTGGATCAAAGACGGTCGGCCTGAAGACCTGTTGCTCTTTGACAATGTTGTTTTATGATTTGGGCCACGTGGCTCACGACGTTTTGAACGCAGATGCTTTGTGATCAGGCCATGGGCGGGTTGGAATTGGAGTCACTTGGCGACTGAGCTTGCGTAAGAAGCCACATGTGACATTTGAGCCGCTCACTTTTGGAGTGTGAAAATACAACTGAGCTCACAATGCCAATAGTTGAGCACTTGCAAGGGCAGACCTGTTTTGGAGCCTCGTTGGCATTCTCTCTTCAGGCAGCGGTGAGCTGGCGCTGATGCCTCAAAGTTATCCCTCGGCTTTGGCGGGGGCCCTCTCCATGTGCGACACTTGGCCAATCAGGGGCTGGACAGCTGGATGGCTGGACGTGGGATCGCTGGCAACGTGGGATGTCTTGTTGCAGGTTGGCCAGCATGGGCCCGTTCTTCTGGGCAGCGGGACGATCATACACGCGGGGATGGGGGTGGGGTTGGAGGCAGCAAATCGTGTGAATGCTTCCGCGGCATGGATGTTTGCGCGAGAAACTGTAGTGGAGGCAATCTTCATGCATGTTCTCTGTAGTTCCATCAGGGCAGCAGCACTGTGCTAGACCAAGCTTGCGCTGCAACATGGCCCGGCAGGAAAAACATTAGAAGCATATTTGGCCCACGTTGCTGCTCTTGATGTTGAACACCTAGCCTGTTGTTGGCAAGCAGCCGGCCGGATTGTGAATTCCCCCCTGCAGATCGACCTGGATTCCAGAAAATCATCATTGTCAGAGGAATCTCCTTTTCCAAGGCCCCTCCTGGGTTCCATCTGAATTTGCCGGAGAGTGCTTCCTGAAACGTGCCGAGCCCCCGGACCAACTTATGTCACTGTTCCAGGTCCAGTTTTGCCGAGAACCCTTGCACAGGGCTTTCACCTGGGCGCCTGAGAGGTCCACCAAGCGTAGGCAGGCAACGGCTTGTATCTCTTGTTCTAAACATGCAGTTGTGAGGTCAGACTCTCAGACTCTCAGACTGACGCCCGCGCAGCATTTTGCCCAGCGAGACTTGGCTTAGCTGCAGTTGAAGTCGCCATGGTGCCAGCTGCTCCTTTGTACTTGCTGGCAGGCAGGGCGGGTGAGTTTTTTTCCGAGCTCTCTTTGGCAGCTTTGGACACACGGACCACGAAGAACCTCATATTTTGTCATGTCTGTTGCAAAGGTTCGCCCCGCGCAGGCGCCGCCCTCACCTTGGGCGGCCTCAAGTTCGGCCCTTCGCTCGCTTGGACGGGGTCGGACACGCCAAGTTTCCGGGGCCCGGCGACTGCGCCAAATTCGGCGGCGCCGGATGCGACGGCCTGGGACGCCCTGCGGATGATCTTGCAGCAGTGGGAGTTCACCAGCGAGTACGCCGTGGTGGTGGGGGATGCCACGCACGGCCGGCTGTTCCTCACTCTCTTGATTTGTCTTTGGTTTCAACCAGTTGCAACTTATTCATTTCAAATGGCTTAGGTTTGGCTTCGGGCAGTTCCAACTCTGGGTTTCAAGCAGTTGCGATGTATCTTCCATTTGGTCATGCCTCAGCCCGCTGGCCTTTCGGAGGCCTTTAGTCGCTGCGCAACTCGAGGTTCACTTACGAGGGGGGGAACTTCACTTTGAAGACCAAGATCCCCACGGGGAGCACCAGCAAGTGGCCCTCGGCCATGATGTTCGCGGGCTTGGTGGCGGATGGCTCCGTGAAACTCTTGGACGACCCCGTGTACAACTACCTGCCTTGGTGGACTCAGGATCGGCAGCGAAGCCTCGTGGTTCCTTCAAAGTGGCGGGGGTGAGGGAGGGGAGGAGGAAATCGTAGGGGCAGCAAACCCTTCTGCCGACTGGGCCCAACAAGCAACTGCCTAAGGCCTCCCCGACTCCCTCGAAGCTTTGGCCATGGAGTGAGCAAGGTCAGGGGACTCAGCCTTTTTTTTGGGGGCGCCCAAGAGTTGGATACGAACCTGGAAAACGCACACTGCCAGCGTTGCTTCGCATCTCTTGAACCCTTCCGATGAGCGTTCCTGTGGGTTCCCTTTGGGGTCGACCATTTAATGAGGCGGCGAGTCTACCACGATGTGTTTTGCCACCAAGCCCCGCTCTTCGTCGAAAAGCGAGCGGCACCCCAGGACGCGTTTGTCGCAGCTTCAGCTTAGATGCCTCGTTACCTGAGAACTATCACTTGCACACCTTCTGTGCAAATCAGGCGGTATGCTCAGTTGTTCCTCATCATCCTTTTTCTGCTGCCCTGGTGTGCATCCCGTGTTTGTGTGTGTGCAATTCTTAGCGTGGCCGAGTAACCTGACCATGGCTGGAGCTTGTAGAGCTTGCCCTCCAGAGGATTCTCGCCAGACGCTAGTTTCGCTGCGCCTTGTCTATGTTTGTCGTCGCTCCTCTATGTTTGTCGTCACCGAGTTGCATGCGCTGTCTGCCGCCAGGTAGTCCATTGCAAGCCACAACACAAACACCTAGAGCCTGTAAATCCTTGCAAGCCTGGCAACCCGAAGCACGGCAACCCGAAAATCCGGCAACCCGCACCAACTGATGCCACTGATGCAACTGGTGTGATCCGCTGGAAACACCGTTGACAGATTTGGTTCCGGAACTGGAAGCGTGAGAGGCCTTCATGGGACATCATGGGACTCATGTGTGCAAGCCTGCGTTGTGCTTCCCAACAGGCATTTGTCACACACACACGCACCCTTTTTGTTTGCACTGAGTACCTGCCGGAGCCGCTTCTTTTGAAAGGGAGTGGTCGGACAGTCGGAGGTGTCTGCCGATTCGAATCGGAGAGGACCCCGCGGACCCCCGGTCCACGGTGACCTTCCGCATGCTGCTTAGCTTCACCTCCGGCTTCGGGGATGGGCACCCGGGGGAGGAGGCCAACACCTTGGCCGGGCGCAAGTGGCGCGACGCGAACCGCGAGAATGTCACCGCTCTGTCGGCGAGGCCGGCACGGGAGGGTTCAGGCAAACGTCGCATGCTGACGGTCTGCCACGGCCATGCGGCAGTTACTGTAGGAAATGGGAAGCAGAGCCATGGCCTTGCATACTTGGGTAAAGGTCCCGACCAGGATTCCACATCAGAAAGTTCAGCTGGAACTGCAGGGCAGGCCAGAACACCAAAGAGCACGCTGCAGCGCTTCACTTGTTCAACTGGCAGCCCCGGAGGTTCGGGGCCACATCCCCCAAAATAAAACAAGCGAACTCTTGAGATGTCTAGATGCGGCAGTTTCAATTTGTTTCAATACCGACTCCACCTGCGCAGCGCGGTGATCATTGTAGCCGGTTCCGGCCACACCAGGCGCCTGGAGAAGATCACGCCGTGCAACCAGATGATCGGGAGCGTTGCAGCTGGGCTCAAGAATGACGCAGGATGGCTTGGGGTTTCTCAAAAAAGGAATGCACACCCCTTCTTGGTGATGAAAGGCAAGCCAAAGGGAACCCCTTGCCATTTTGGGAAATGGGCCGACTTCAACATTTTGAGAAACACTAACACTCATGTAAATTGCATTGTGTTGGTCGCGTTGCTTTTTCTTCCCTGAGTCGATTGGCAGAGGTTGGCTGGAGTGACCGACAGTCACCCCAAAGTTTTAGAAAACCGGGTGGGTCGTTGTAAACGTTCGCAGGGAAACGATTCGTTTGTCTTGGAGTTCCTGGCGCCTCTTGAGCTTTGCTTTTCTTCCCTTTAAAAGGTTGGTTGGCACACCATTAGAGCCCTCCCTGAACAACATAAAGCCTTGGACACCCCTAGCTCGCTAGGTTGGCTGCGCGAAGCACATCTACGAGACAGTGAAGCTCATCGGGAAGCCGGGGACGGAGCACCGGATGAAGCTGGCAAGTTTTCGAGGGCTTGCCCAAACAACTCGGCAACTCGCGAAAGGTATTTTATGGAACCCTCGACGGCGTGGTCAGACCGCAAAAGGGGGGGTTTCGGGGTTCCCATTTTTTTTGTTTTTAATGTGCGTGCCCTAAGACCACGAATAAGCCCAGGCTGAATTCCAAAACCAACGGAAGCTTCAAGCACAAGTAGTTGAAGCGACCAGGTGTACTCCTACAACTCCAATCACCTGCAACTGGCGGCGGCAGTGGCAGTGACCGTGACCGGCCTGGACATCCAGCAGGCTGTGCTTGGACCAGCTCTAGGATCTCACCCATTGTTGCACTCTTTCAGCACTCGTTTAGTGGGAATCCAGGGTTGGGGCATCCAACACAGCCAAATCGGATGACTTTGCGAGGCTGTGCCACAGAAGGGGCAAGAGCAAACCCCCAGGCCTTGGTTCATTTTTTGTGCGGTTGCCAGAGCTTAGCCTGTTGCTGTTGAAAGAGTTGCAGCCGCGGGCAAACTCAGTGACTGAGCCAGTGGCAAGCCAAAGGTTGGGTTCCGTGTGAGCGGGGCCTGACAGCGAGAGAACAGGCCGGCTTAACATCATTAGTTGCTTGTCGCTCTGTGGCACATCTGATTTCAAAGCCGCTTGATGTGCCCAACATCACCACTTGCTTTGGGGGCTGCCTGCCTGGAGCCGAGAGTACTGATTACGATTAGTTTGCAGGCAAGGCTGATTTCAATGAGGCTTTTGATCACTGTTGTCAAGGTTCCTGTGCTACACAGGATTGAACGGCGCTTTGGCAGGGTGAATCCCAAGCCACACAACAGCAAACAGCCCACCGCCCTGATCATCAAAGGGCCCCATGTTGGAGCTTGTTGGCATGTTGATCGTGGCTTGGCTGGAGCGACGCGTTCCGCTAAGATCTGACACTTTGGTTGTTACCTCATTACCTCATCTTGCTTGCTGCGCAATGACACGATGCCAGCACTTGCTCCAATCCTCATGTTCGCCAGGTCATCAAGAAGTACCTCGTGGAGCCCTACAACATGACGGACAGTGCTTACCCGGGCCGCTGCCCAGACTTTGGAGGCGCGGGAGGAGTCTTCGACCCTGGCCTTAGGGTACAGGGGATGCATACATCTGGGGCAATAGCGCCTGACCGTTGGCCACACGTCGCATGGCGTTACAAATGGCCGCCGTGACATGTTGGTTCTCTTGGGGTGCAGGCGACCTCTTCACTACGGGTGCTGACTATGAGAAGTTCCTGGCGGCGCTTCTGGGCTACAAGACGCTCAACAAGCCCTTGATCGCTGCCTCGGAGGAGGACAGCACCCCGTTCATGAAGGACATGGGATAGCTGCAGCCGAGAAAGTGGGGACAGCCTTTATAGAAAGAGAAAGTGCCGGGGGGGGGGGGAAGGGTAGGTGAAATCGTTTTTTTGTCATGTTTCAGGCAAGCCGGGCCCTGCAGGACATGTACACCCTGTACGGGGACTATGGCTTTGGGCACTTCCTGATGTGCTTCGATAGTGTCAAAGGTTTCACCAAGGAGTGCGAGGAGGCACAGTGCCACATGGACCCCGGAGCTTTCGGCTTCATCCCACTCTATGACCGCAAGAACAACTACTACATGCAGGTGCGGGGCAGTGGGCTTTTCCACTGAACCATGTCTCCTTGTGTGATCAAACAGGGGCCCTTTCTGGAATTGGTGGTGGTTGTGGGGCCGGCCCTTGGCCAAGGGCAGGACGGCGACCTTTGGCTAATCCGCCCTCTTGACGCTCGCAGGTGGTCGCTGCAGAGATCCCTCCCACCGGCTCCTACCCACTCAGCGGCATCCCAGAATCTCAGCTTTTGGCCTTGGTTTTGGAGGCAACCAAAGCACAACACAACATGGGTTTTGAGACCAGTCAAGCCTTCCTTTCCAGCTATCTGAGGAATACTTGGCCATGGCCATCAAGCCCCATGTGGATGCAATCATGACGGGCAAGGCCGCCCTCATGTCGTCGAGTGGGGCACACTTGGATTGGCTTGGGTGAAACCATGTTTGTTGGCGGTTTTGGAAGGCTAGGGCCTTTTGGCCAGCGCAGAGTGAGAGATGAGACATGGAACGTGGATGTTCGGCTAACGTGCTCGTGTGGAAACGAGCCCCAGTGGGTGGGTGACAGAGGGCGCTCCAAGAGAGCGCTAGTTAAATGGATTGCCCCCACTTCAGCGTAAGGCTTGGGGCTTGCCCTTGCTCAAGACTCAAGACCGTTCTTTGTGCATTGGAATCGCCATACTGCCTTTTCCCAGCTACGTGCTTGATCGCTTTTGGGGGCGGAATGCTATGAAGCACAGAGAGAGCTGGATGGGGGCAACGGGGCTCGTCACGGAACGCAGGTCTCCGGGAATCCGATGGAGCAGCTCTCCCACAATCCCAGCCTGCTGTCCTTGAGCCTGTCGGATGTGAACTACTGCCTGAGCTGCAAGCTGCACCCTAAGCAGTGCAGCTGAGCCGCGTAGCCTGACTTTTGGAACCTGCTGGCAGGCCCCTTCCACTTAACTGACAGAACGCATCCCAAGCTCAAGAACTGAGGTCCCCTAGTTCCGAGCCAAAACCTCCAAGCGGGTTGCCTGCAGTTTAGTGACCTGCGCCCGACGTGATTTTCGGCCGCGAGGCGAGGGTTTGCCAGGGCTAGGCGGCCGGGAACAGAGTCGATCCGCCCTCAGCCCAGAGGCTGCCCTCGCGCTCGGATGCTCTGCTCTCCTCGCGTCCGGCGAAGAGCTGAACTGGTGGGAAAACAACTTCCAGCTGAGCGCCGCAGTGTCTGGGGGTGAAAATGGCACCATTGGACGCCAGCACATTTTGGGTTCCTGGCATTGCCGCGTGATGTTGGGCAATCTCCCTCAAAGATCCGCCGGCTTTGGGGAGCTCGCCCGGCGCGTTTTGCCAAGTTCGCCTTTCGCAGCAGCACCTGGGTTGGTATGGTTGATTGCGGGCCTGTGCCTTGGGCTGATCCGCTGTGTTCTTTCGTGCCACTCCGGAACTGCAAGCAATTTCGCACAGATTTGCTTGTGCTTCTTCCGGTTTATTGAAATGTGCTTGTGCCACGGTGGCCGATGTGCCACTTGCGTGTGAACGAAGCTTTCTTTGCATATGATTCTGGGCCAGGGGGGCTCACACCTTGTCATCCACCCGCCTTGCCGACCTTGAATTTCAAGGAGGTCAAGCATGCGCCCTGGAACCCCTGCCTTTTTGTGTGCTATTTGCATATTAGGATCCTGAAGTCTGTGGTGTGTATGTGTGTGTGTGTGTGTGGGGTACTTATCATGGTCCCATTCACCCCCGCGCAGTGTACGTGCGATACATATGAATCTTGGCTAGCAGCTTTTGGGCACGTGACTCGGGACAGACCTCTCAACCAAAGGGCTGGGCGCCTGAGGAGGGTGACAACTTGGCAGCCGCGCTGGCTGGTGCGCGTGCGGCGCATCTGGAGCAGTTGAAGAAGCAGGTCGCTTGTGGCCTTTGATCAACGGATTTGGGAGTGGAGGCTATTTTGCCTGGAACATGCTTCCAAGATTACCGGCGACAGGTGAGAGGAACGTTGATAGCACCATGGCCCAATATCCTGCGGGTACCAGCACAAGGGACCTATGCGCTCTCATGCACCAAGTCCTTTCGTAGGCATGCTTCCCGCATGCAGTTGGCAGTTTTGTGTTCTCTGCAAGGCCACCATTGCGGGGGGGGGGAGGCTATCATGCAAAGATTGCATGTGGCCCGGATGATGGATGGCCAATGGGCAGTTTTGGTGGGCTCACTTGCCCCGAGACGACCTTTTTCACCTTTCCTAAGGTTCCAAAAGGTTCAGCATTTATTCTCAGGCCCTCTGGGCAAGTGAGTAGGGAGGCAACCTTATGTACACATGGTCCAGGAGAAGGTTTTGGCTCGTGCCCTCCAGCCGCTCGAGCCGGAGTCGGAGGAGGAGGGGGAGGAGAACCAGGTGGGTTGAGCGGGTAAATGGCGAAAGGCTGTGCGAGTGGGCGCTCTAGAAGCTCAAGCTTCTTTTAGGGGTCCGGACCGGAAGGCACATTGGTCAAGCCACAACGGACCTTCATAGCGAGGGGGCAAGGGGGGGATGTGAGAGGTGAGTACTTTGACGGTTGACAATTTTGACAGAGCGTGCCCATTCTGCCAAGTCGTTTTATTGTTTTGCAGCAGCTGTGGCCGGCCGCGGGCTTTGTTGCTGTCCAGGTTGGCTCTTTGGCATGCGAGCGGTGCCAGGTGGTGGATGCAGGCGCAGCGCTGGCTCTGCTGCAGAGTCTCGGCATGGCGTTGGGTTTTTCTTGGTCCCCCTTCCTCTTGGCCTTCACGCAAAAGCATGCAGACACCAGCCAAAACGTCGTGAGAGAGTCCAGCGCTCTCTCGCGCACAAGTTCGCAAGTTGCACGCCCAACCATGTCTGCACACGAATCTGTCGTGCCGTGGAGTCAGTTTGCATCAGGGCTAGAAAAAGTGGTGCTTAAGCGCGGAAATCCCAGGAAGGCCAACCTCTTCGGGGACACGGATGCCCAATTCAATAGCGCCGTGCAGAACTTGCCCTCGGTGAAGGCTGCCAGGGAGAGAGCCATGCTTCTTGCCTGCATGGGATGCTTTGATGGCTGGAGTGCTGATCAAAGGCTTGGCTTGGTGTTCCTTGTAACCGAGCCATAACATTCTATGTTTGACACTGGCCGCTCCTTAAGCGTTCAGCGTGCGCGCAGGTACGCACGTGAATCGGGAACATAGCACTTTCTGTCGGCAAACTTGTGGACATGTCTGTCACCCACAGCTTCAGGAACCACATCATGAACCATCGCCCCCACAAAAGCCAGGTGCCATATCATCAAGCTCCCCCCCCCTCCCGGGCAGAAAAAAAGCAGAGTTCGCCACCCCCGCCTTCCGGGGCTCTCGTCCCAGGGTGGCCGTTGGTTTGCCCAGCAACTTGGGCCCGGTGGCGGCGCGCATGGCGGAGCTGTTGCACCACACGGATCCCCAGGGCCGGCAGGTGCTCCGGGCGATGTGGGCGCGTTTTTTTCTTTTGTTTTTTCCTTCTTCTTTTTTTGCGAGGCTTTCTGCCCCCTTGTTTTTCCTCTTCAGTGTGGCTTCAAGGACGTCAAAAGGAAGCTGCAAATGAGCGCGGTCCAATTTCACCTTCCGTTTCCCCAAAGATGTGGGTGGCAAGATCGTGGGCTTTTGTGGGTAGGAGGTCATTCTTAAAAAAGGCAGGGCACTCGATTCCTGCCCTGGCCGGGCTGGACTGTTTTGCCCCACATTGCCCGGACGCATTCATTGCCATTTGAAGAGACTCGCCGTGTCGACGTTCCTGTTTTGTCTGGCTGACTAGTGTACACCTGCTGCCGCTAGGTCTTGCCAGGACGCATGCTTTGGTTCACGATTCAGACGCGTTGGGGGCGGGCGCGATGCGTAAGTGGACTTGGCCAGAACAAGCTACTGAAACGTCAACTTTGGCACTTCCAGCAAACGGGCGCCAGCTTTGGTCCGTCCTCAGTCACGGAACGCGAAGCGGACAACCAGAACTTGCGGGGTGCAAAACGGTATTTTGACACAACCTGGAGTCGGAGGTCCTGAGGATGGAACGAATGCCAGGGACAATCAATAGCAAGCACAGCGATGATGAATGCGCATTTGTTTCCTTAGTTCTTGGAATTGTTTTAGGTTGGTGAGTTACTATTTTAGTTGCCCAAGCCTCCAGTGCTACCCTTTTTGCTGTATGTTGGAGTGGGGTTCCCTTTAAAGTCTCTTGAGCAAAGGAGGCGTGAACTACCAAAGAAAAAGTGCCTGTCTTTCCCATGGCCACTGGGGCTCTTGAGGTAAGTATATGCGGCCCCGACTTTTCAAGACTGCAGAGTGTGGAGATGGTTTGGGGGAGGGAGCAACCATCCACATGGGCCCAAGCTCACTCCATCGAAGCATATGCCAGCCGCACGTCCGGCTCCGCAACTTCATTCATTGTTTGGTCCTTGAAGCCTCCGCAAGGCGTCCAAATTCGGCTCGCCGGAGACGGGGCGAAGGCGGTTCGCACCGCCCTGGCCCTTTTTCTTGGGGATAGGCCCCCTCGCCCGAGCACTGCGCTGGCCCTGCGAGGCGAACATGCTCTGCCTCAAGCGGCTCCGTGCCTTGGGCCTTGCGCGGAAGGGCCCACCTCGGGGCGGGCATTTGGCACTTTCAACCAGGCAATCTGCGCGGGAATCCTAAGCACGACAGGTGTCGTCTCAACTCCTCCCTAACTTGTCAGGCATTAATTAATTGGCATAATGCATGAGCTTGGCTGCAAGGCTGGAGAAAGCGCAAGCAAAAGTTCCCGCTGAACAATCCTCGTGGCTCCCCCCCCTCCTGCCTCAGGGTGTGTCCTTGCATTAACTTGAAAGTGCGCGGATGCCATCTTTGGCCGCCTAGGCCTCCTTGCAGTTCCGCATCCTGAGGTCATCCGCCCCTCGGCCGCAGGAAGGTATGGATGTTGGGGGACCTTTGGCGTTCGGCGGCGAGGCCGGGCTGCGGAGGCTCTGCAGAAGGGGGGCCTCATGACCTTCCCGCCGGGCAGCTGGTTCTTCGGCTTGGAGGCCGCAGGTCTGGGAGATGCGAGCGAAGTTCGCGCCAGCGCGATAGCTTGCCCACCGCGCTTTTTGGGCAAGCTGCGGCTTCGAAAGCTTCTCGTATCCAGCTAGCCAACCTTATGCCAGCCATTTGATGAATGAAATGTCATGCGCGTGTCACTGCGGATCTCTTAGAGTCCCACTAAGACTCCAGCATTCGCAGACGGCTTTCTTCGAACTTTTCTTGGCTCGCAATAAGCACGCGAAACCAACTGCTTGAACAATGCACTCGACTGCATGCTAAAGCACCGGGTGAAGCTTAACTTCAAATGGTCTAAACCTGGGTTCCGTTTCACAGACTTGGTGATTGGATGGAATTACTTTGCTTTCGGTTTCTCCGAGTTTGCTGCCCCTGTTTCCTTTCTGGACGTGGGTGATGCAGTTTGCTTTGTCAATTGTCTTGCGCATGCCTGGGAAAAGTTGGCTTTCACGAAACCTCGAAACCGCGACATCGGAGGAATCGACATGTGGATTTACCTTGCAAAGTGCTGTATTTGGCGGGCATGAGAAGGGGGAAATCACTAGAAATCAGAATTTCAGGCAGTAGAACTACGGGGACACGGATTTTCCCATGTCCTCTTGGGGAAACATGTAATTTTTACCGTGCCTCAGATGCCTGCCCCAGGAGGGCCTCCACTTCCCTATCGCAAATCCCGGTACCCCGGTCGCCTTGGTGTTCGTTGTTATTTTTCCTACGGGGAAGCCGCCTGCCAAGCCCGCCCCGCGAGCCGGGTCAGGGGCAGCCGCAGCACTTCCCGCTGCTCATGGAGGCGGGCAGAGCCTCAGCCCTTGGCTTGGCATGCGTGGTTGGTTCTCTCATTAATTTGTTGATACACTTTCTTTGATCCTTAAATATATACATACACACACATCACACACACACATATATATATATATATACATATATATATGTACACAGTTTATGTCTTTTTTTGGGGGAGAGGTGTGTGTAGAGGTGATTTGAAACGGGTCTCAACGTGTTGGAGGAACGTTTGCTTGGTATGGCATTTTGTGAGTCCAAGTTGGTTAAAATGAGCATCCTGGTATGTTGATATTTGCGTCAACCTCTGGCCTGCCCTCACAATGAATGTCTGTCCTTCGTTCAGAGAGTCCTGAATGGGGGTTGGGTTTCAGGCAGCTTCAGGCAGAAACGTGACCCCCCGACAAACTGGATGTGCTTTTAAGTGTGCCGATCATATGCACAAAATCATTCAATTTGGCCCAAAGACCCTTTTGTCTCGCTTCCTGAGTTCATGAACTTTAAACACTTTTTGGGAAGACTATTTTAGTGGTAAATATTTTGTTTGGACTTTTTTGCACCATCCACTCGGGAAGTGTGTTGTCCGACACGTTCACGGCCAAGTCCCCTATTTCCAAGGACTGGGGCCATGTTCGATCGAGCCAGGACCTTCATGCAGCCTGGAATGGGGGCCACTTCCGGCATTGGTTCGGGTCTCCCCGGGCTGGGCGGTACATGACCAGCACACTGCAGGACCGCTTCTGTGGACTGCGATGACTCACGGGGTGGCAATGCTGTCATGCCCTGCTTATGGAAACTTGCTGAAGCCAAAATCCTCCAAAATCCAGCAAGATGCACCCTTGGATATGTGTTTGCTGATGGAAACTTGCTGAAGCCAAAGCCAAAGGTGCAGATGGTCAAACGGTGCTGAAACTTCAGGAGATCTGGTCCCTTGGCTTCAAGCACCTCTACGAGTCGGTGGTGCTTCTTCAGGATGTCTCAGAGTTTGCACCCAGCGGTGGGTTCCTTAGGAAAAATCAGTTTCAGTGAGGATCCTCACCAAAGGTCCACCCCTCAATCGATGGACCATGGATGGAACGCATAAAGCAACACGCAGTGACATGCGCACGCATGAGCAGGGGCTTGGGTTCTTTTATGTGGTATGGGCAAGCAGCTATGTCTGTGCGTGTTGGTGCATCTGCTGATCTCTGCGTGGGCGTGTCTGTTGTTGTCTCTCGCTGTCCCTCTTCCTCCTTCACCTCACCCTCTCTCCCGCGCTTTGTTTCTGTCTCACTCTCTCTCTCTCTCTCTCTCTATGTCTCTCTCTTTTTGCTTCTCTCCTTCTCTCTTCCTCTCTTTCTCTCTCTCTCTCTCGCTCTCGCGCGAGCCATTTCGCTGGCGTGTAGGCACTGCAGAGGGTTGCCGGCTCCGCTTCCAAAAAATGCAGGGGACTACACACAAGCACATCCGAAGCACATACTCTAATGCAGGACCCAGGCATTATGTTCATGGGACAATGTGTTTACGAATTCCGCATGCGAGGTCATCCCGGACGTAGTTCACGAATCCGGTTCACCTCAGCTCTCTGCAATTGCACTTCGCGGGAGTTGTTTTTGCAAGCGAGCTATGTTATGTGCAAGTTTCTGTCTGGGTCTTTTCTTTGCAAGCTAGCTCTGTAGAAGTTGTTCTGAGACGTACGGTTCTGATTGCAAGTATCGTTTGTTCGGATTGGTCTGTGCATGTCTGGTCTTGGCAGGCGTGCTCTCGGCGAATGGCTCTGTGTAAGTTTATTTCTTCACATATGTTTCTTACAAATCAAATTCTGTTCGAGGTTGTTCTCTGCCTGTTTCACCCGTGCATAGGAGGTGGCCATGCCTTCGGCGGACGCATGCACCCTGCTTTCGATTAGGAAAGATGGCGCGCGTTCAATTCACAGCCGGGGTTCCTTGGGCCCTGAAGCCGAGAAGCAGGACGAGCTGCAGCTCATCTTGAAGGAGATGGGCCCTGCAGGCAGCCACCTACGCCGCTGCCTTAAGTATTGCTTTTTGGGCCCTGGTCTATGTTTCTCCCCGGAGCTGTTCGGAACCTGCTTTACAAACCCTCAGAAGCTGGCTCGGAAGCAGGGACGCTTTCACAAAGTAAGGAGATGTAAGAAGATGAATCTGGTTCGTCTGAAATGACGGGGTCCCCAAACTGGTTGATTCCGCACGCTGCTAAGGTGTCGAGCAGCAGGTCCTGATCAGCCACCTGTCGTCAAGGGTGATGATGATGATGATGATGATGATGATGATGATGATGATGATGATGATGATAATGATGGTGAGGGTGGTTGCGGTTGTGCTTGTGGTGGTGGTGGTGGTGGTGGTGGTCGTGGTGGCGGTGGTAGCAGTGGTGGTGGCGGTGGCAGCCGTGATGTTCTCAGTGCACCAGGGCCATTCTTTCCAGCGCTTCAGCCACGTACCCCGAAATGTGCGACCGGTGCATGTCTTTTGTACCATCTCTGTGAGCCTTGATTGTTCGGGCGAGTTCTCAAATAGTTTCGCAGGCAACGCGGAAAGGTGGAGGGATCTTCGAACGTTTTGCAGCAAGGAAGCGCTTTGCACTAACCAATCTGTGGCGTGCAGCCTGTTTGACCGATGTGGGCGCAGCGTGGCCCCGATTTTGCGGAAGTTCAATCGCTTGCGGTGTGCGCGTGAACGCGCGGGGGATTTCGTCCAAACTTGGCCAACAGAGGCACGTGCCTGCCAAAGCGACAGGCACTTGGGAAGGTTGTAAGAAGCGGTTACAAACTCAGCTGGGTCTGCATTGTGCAAATTAAGTGCGGGGCAAGCACGCTAGCCGCTTTCCCGTCTTTCCAGCATACTTCCTAAGTTACCACTGCAAGTCAATTTGTCAAAGGCGGCGATCTGCTGCCAGTTCTTTTCCGCGCTGCAACCCTGAAGAATGATGGTATACTGTATGACGCGAGTCGTCGATGGTGCAAGGAAGGCGGGCAAGTAGAATGACATCGTGGCCAGTCTTGACAACACGTGCAATGCACCATGGTCGGGATTGAAGGAGTGTGGTGAAGCACCATCATAGAAGGAAGCGTCAACTGTGATGTGAGTTGAGGCATGATAGCGACATTTCCGCGTGGCCGGTGACTCGTGCGCGGCAGGGGCTGCAGTCTCAAAGCAAAGCGTGCAGCTACAGGTGGAGATGTCGATGAGGGAAATGCTGCTAAGCAATTGGGCGAACAGGGATTTGATCGTAGGGGGGAAGTCTTCGGACCCACTTGCCCAAACATCTCAAGCCTGACACCTTGGGACTCGACGCTCAAAGGCTGTATTTGCCTTTTTTTCCTGGAGGCCTTCATCCATTTTTCTGAATAGGCCTCATGACTTTCGCACGCAAAAGTTGTGTTTTGTCATTTTGCCGGATTTAAAGCCCTGGTTCTTGGAGGGTAAATGGAAAGCTGGCCCCTAACTTCCAAACCACCAAACCAAATCACCCGGTGAATCCATGTTCGGCAGTCAGTTTTCGCAGTAAGCTTGTTTTTTGTTTTTTTCCTCCGTCTGAAAACCGCAGAGTGAAGGGTCAAAATGGACCCCCCCTTTTTTTGGTTGGCTTCTGTTGGAAAGCCAAGAGGAGAGCTGGCCCCTCCGTTGTGAGACGAAGCCACAGGGAAGCCGATCTCTCGCCCATCAGCTGACCGAGGCTTCCACGGCAAGGGCCAGCAGATGCCGCCCTGGGAGGATGGCGCGTCGCGGCGCTCGCGGCGTGTGAGCCTCCTGCCGGGGACCCGGACCCTCCAAAATCGCAAGGGGTCCTTTTGGTTTCCCTTCAAAATAAATCATCCAAAAAGGGCACCCTCCAGAAAGATACGCCAAGAACAGCGGAGAGGTTTGGGGAGGTTGGGCCACTTTGGTGTCACAGCCAAAGCCATTGAGCAAGCCTTTGGAGGGCTGCCAAGGATGAACCCCGGGTACAGCCACCGCCGCGTGGGCGAGGGTGGCGCCCTGCGCTTACACCTGAAGGATGGTGCAAGAGGTCCGCTCTGGGCGGGGGGTGGGGGGGGGGTCGGGGTCTCTCTAAGAATCCTGGCTAAGAAGTTTTAGGGACCTTTTCTGGGTGGCCGCTTGTTTTTTTTTTGGACATCCTTAGTGCCACGTGCTTTCGCTTCGTGGATTGCGTTGGCAGTGGTCTTGCTTGCGCTGCTGTTGGCTTGTTGCGACGGAACAAAACACTTTTTTTGGGGGGAGGAGGGCGCCAGGAGTTAGTCTTGTTTTCAGGGCCGCGCTGTGCAGATGGGCGCCCCGGTGAGATGTTCCAAAGGCTCCTGGTCAAATTCGAGTTTCCCCAAATATGGCAAGTCAGGCTCGCATCAATGGTAGGAGTGCTTGCTCACCGCTGGCAATGGAATCTACAGTTCTTCAACCAGCGAATCCGGAACAGTGAATGTGCTGCCAAACTCTCTGCGACAGGCAAGAACGTGCAGGAACTGCCCGGTGGTGGAGGGAACTGGGCCGTTTTCCGCACGCCGGATGTGCGGCAGGAGGTGACAAAGGCGGGGTGGTTCGTGTGTCGATGCTTTGGCCAGGATAAATTCGGCCCGCGGGAGAAAG